AATTGTAAAGTTTAAAGTTGTTCAGTATAAACATTGAATTCTAGTTATGTGTACAAATTTCTTCAATGAAACTATCCTACAGGAAATTTTCAGGAACAGGGAGTTCCTAGAAAAAAATTAGTCTACATATATTCCCCCCCCCCCGAAAAAAAAAGCATTGTATCATTTCTCATTATTAAAGAAATTAGTTATAATTGTATTTAAAATTTTGTGCTTTTTTCTACTATTATTGTTCTACAGTGGATATTTCAAATCTTCTCTGGTGTGTCAGTTGTTGCTCAGTAAGTGTACAGGTACCTAATGAAACACTAAGCAAACTAGAATTAGTCTCCTAAGTATTTTCCTATCAGCAGTAGTATCTGGTTTTAACTGCAATGTAGATCTTAGTCAGGAAGCTGGAGAAAGAAAAGGAGAGAAATGGAAACTTGTAAATTTAGGACAAAGTTAAAACAATATGGAGGGAAGAGGAATCTCTAGAGATCTACTAGAAAATGGAAGTTAAATTCATATGGTTCCTTCTGCTCTGGAGGTGTTGATTTATATCACTACCAGTGAGGTTGGCAAGTGCAAACTTCTAAAATAGCAGAAGATTTCCTGAGAGGTCACTGGGTTCTCTTTGTTGTGAGATGGAAGGCAAGAAGAGTTAAAATAAAGCCAGAGGGAGAGAAAAGGACTTTTCTGTGCTGGAAAGGTAGGAGAGGTACATGGGAACCAGGTAGCCACTGGCCCCCAAGGTACCCGTTCCTAGGGACCCTCCAGCACACTGCTCTGCTAGAAGAAGATATTTTTGAAATGTCTTTGAGAAGGAGGTCCCAACCCTGGTTTTCACAGGCAGGCACCACACAGGACTTCAAGCAGTGCAGGAGATTAGATAGCTCCTTGGCCAAGACCCTCGTGCAGGGGGAGAGGAAAGAAGAGTCTGGGAACAGAGTCTGGGCTCATTTTTCCTGTGAGACTGAGGACACCCTAGCCCTGTTTGTCTCACAGGTTGTCCAGCACCGGCCTTTTCTTATGCAAAGAGGTTTCTCCATTAAGTTACATTAAGTTTCAAATTCAATGTCTGCAGGAAGAGGTCTCAGAGTCAGGAAATACGTGTGTGTGCCCAGAAAGAGCAATCGAACCGGCTGCTCGCAGCTCCAGCTGGTGTCCTAAAGCCCTCTTTGAACATTTAGTCTGCTAGTGTTTCACAGGCAAACACAAAATCCTTTGGGATTCAGTCTTTTGTGCCTGGGGATGTGCTTCCATGATTCATTCTGTGTCTGAGCTGCAGATAAACACATTCAGGCTTCTGTGTGGAAAATAGCTGGTTCTCTCCTGGCATTTCTTCAAAAGCTGTATTGAAACTCTGTTCCCAGGGGCTGTTTCATATTCCCTCTGCCATCAGAACACCACAGCATCCTCCACTCCCACCACAAAGATTTGGGATGCTTGGAATCAGTGGGCTATAATCAGAGAGTGTGTAGGGCTTTTATCATCTTCTGTGGCCACCAGCCTGTGGTCCTGTTGTTGGGCTTCTCTCAGCTAAACAGAGACTGAGGGAAGAAGAGAGGAATAGTTTTATCACATTTAATGCTCACATGTCCACAAAATCCCAAGACAACCTCACTTCAAATTTCTTCATACTAGTGCATTACCCAGCTCCTGATGTTGAGGTGCTTTTATAAAGGTAATTTTCTCTCCAACCCTTACTGTTTGTACTTGTAGTCACTAGTCCTGAGTAAACACAAACAGAATTCAGGTGTTGAGGAGGGATCCCAGTGATCAGTGTTGAGCTGTGGATAGTGGGGTTTGTGTTTTGAGTATCTACAGACCACCCAGTTTCCTGAGAGCACTCAGTAAACCTCCCTCAAGTCCTGTCTGGGCTCGTTTTGGCATAGGGAATACTTGTATATAGTAGTGGTTTCCTTTGTGTTTTGATGGTGGTGATTATTGTTTTTCCTGAATTAGGGCTACTGAGATAAATATTTAGTTTTAATGTTTCATTTTGTACATAATAAGGCATATCTGAAGCAGCACCTTAAGCCTCAGTGTTACTCTCTCATTATTTTTTTTAACAGAAAAAAGCAGACGTTTTCAATACTTGGCAAAGCCACAGGGCTGAGGAGAGAGCTGGCTGGGAAATGGGAAAAATACTCAAATCTTTTTTGAAAAAGTGCCAATGTCTATAATGCATTTTCAGTGAATGACTCAATTGGTTCTATTAAGGGCAAAAATATAATGTTAATTCAGCCTAATATAGTTTATTTAACAGACAGCTTGAACCTCCTTATATTTTACTTTCTTGCTAATTATTGCTCGGGATGTTTAATAATTGGTTTCCCTTAGTGGATATCAGTAAAACTCAGGAGTAGCTCCTTTAAATTTAATGGAGATTTGTTTAAAAGTATGAAGGGTCAGACTCAATATGATGAGGAAGGAGTTAGGTGCAAGCAAATCAGAAGGAGGCAGAATTTGATTTTGTATCTGAATTGGATCGTTCCTTCATTTGTGTGGACTTGAGCACATTTGCATTTGTCCTTCTCCATGTGTTCTGGCTCAGCCTCTAGATTTGCCTTTAATAAAATGTAAGAAACCATGGTGCAAATAGATTCTGCTTTATCTGGAGAGAAAAGGATAATAACATGATATTTATTGATTTTACAGTCATAAAGTGGTATTTATTGACTTTGCAGCTCTTTTAAGACTAAAAAAGGATAAATTCTACAGTTAAGTTTAGTTGCTCAGGTTCAATACCACACAGCCTCACTGAGAACAGGGAGTGTCTTCTGTTGAAAGAATCCAAATGGTGCCCCACTGTCCATGTAACAGTTAAAATTCAACATCTTTGTGTCCCTTTGGAAAACAAAAAAATCATTGGTTTGAGTTTTTGGTTACAAAAACCCTTCTCAGACTTCAGACTGCTTCTCTTTCCCTCTCCACCTCATTTAATATAGATGTGCTGTATGTAAAAGGGAGAAGATGGATATGCAGGTGTGTGTGTTGAGAAGAGGTGCAGGGAAGGCTGGGATCTTAGATGTGTGTGCATAGCGAGGTGTAATGGGATCTTGGATGAATGTGTATATAATATGTATGTATAAGCAGAGTCAGTGAGTAACTGCTAGGAAGTGTACATTGTATCTAAGCAAAACAGCCTATAAAATTGGATGAAAGTGGGGAAGAATGTCCATGTGGGATGTGCACTGAGATGCCCTGGAGACTTGACTCCAGCAGAGCACAGTGTCTCCTTCACCTCTTCTCAGAGACTCCTGCTCGTTTTCCTCTCTCAGATCTTCTTTGCTCCCTCCCTGTCTCTGTCAGCAAGAGCTGCTGACTGGAGAAGGTCACGGCATCCTCACCACTGGAGGATTTTAAGGGCACGTTGGATTAAGACCTCTCAGATGATAATTGAGCCTGACTTGGAGCAGCAGAAAGAGACTAGCTGACCTGTCAGAGGCTCTTCCAAGCCTGTTTTGTCATCCCAGAAGTACGGAGGAGGACAAAACCTGAGGAAGAAAAATGTGCCGTAGAAAGTAGCTGACAGGTCAGGGGGAGTGGAGAGCAGGAGGTGAGCAGAGGTGCTGGCAGGAGCCCCTCGGGTGACAGGCAGGAGATGCAGCCAGAGCAGTGAGGAGCACCAGCCAACAACTGCAGTAACAAGTTCCATGATCTCAGTGAGAAAGGAAACAAGGACGTGGGTCATTAGTCAAAGCATCCTGTCAGGTCAAGGGTAGGAGAATCTTGGTTTTTCTGTATTGAAAAAAAAAAAAAGATAATAAAAAGGCAAAACCAGTGCATTTCATAACATAGGAGAAGGGCGACCGGTGAGAGGATGAGAATCCAGCAAGGGACTGCAAAAATAGAGCAGGATCACAGAGGAGGGTCGAACACGGGTCAGAGGCTAAAACTAAATAGTAAAAAAATCACTATTTGACATAGAGAAAAGGAAATTATTTCAGGAGAGAAAATGAAAACCAGAGAGAGGGTAGAAGAAATAGTTGATATATCAGGCAAAGTCATCCATTTCAGTAGTTTTCTTTTAGCTACAACTTAATGTGTGAGATCCTGTGTGTTTGAGGCAGGTCAGAAGGGGAAATAATCTCTGGATTTCATTGTGTGGGACAGGTGAGATTTGCATGCATTTGACAAATAAAGGCATTTGCCTCGAAGAAACAATAGAAAGAGTAAAGGGGCTTCCAGAGTTTGCCAACTGGAGACAAAAGTGATGTGAAGCAGGTGTTGGATGACCAAGGGTTGTGGATAGTTCAGCAGACTTCAGAGTCAAAATGTTGGACAGCACAACCTGAGTGAGGAAGATGAAAGCACAGGCAGAGGGAGAAGACTGAGAACAGATCAGTCATCCTTGCTGAAAGACTGGGAGTCATGGAAAGGGTGAGGGACAGGGTAAGATGATAAGGGCTGCTGTTAAAATAAACCATGTGATGTGTCTTAGTGTTAAAATGGACGTTTCTATCATCATCATCATTTCAGTTAATGCAAACCCAAAGTGCTTCTTGTTCTCACCATGACCTGGGCACTTCCCAAGCCATCATTTCCACAGCATCAGAGCACCTTGCTATCTCTGAGGTGATTGTCTGTACAGCAGTGTGGGTGGTAAGGAATTGCTGTTCTGTTGGTAGTGAACTGAGGCATAAAGCAGAGGAGTATTTTGCCTGCAGTCCCACTACAGATGGAAGTGGGAGTTGAAGCCAGGGTGTTTAGTCTTCAACTGGTAGCTTAAACTCTGGCTCATCCTCCCTCTGAACTCCTTCCTTGGGTAGGAGCCACCCTGAAATCAAACTTTCCACGGAGAAATAAAGTTTTTTGGCATATTTTAATGGTTTGTTTTGTGATGCTAAAAAAAAATTAAAAAGATCTTATGTTACTTTTGACATTTTCATTATTGGGAAAAAATTAAGCCATAACTCTGTATCTGCTGGTCGATGCAGAGGGACATTGCAGAAGAGACTGACGGGTGTTGGCGAGAGTGGCCTTTGTTTGATGTGCTCTGGTGTGTTTTCCAGATAAACCGTGAAAGCTGGTGTTCGCTGGAGCCGTGTCCCGATCCCTCCCTGCTGGAGCGCAAGCGGACACGGGAGTCTCCAGGTGAGCAGCGTGCTGATGGCAGCTCCAGACCAGCAGCCATTCCCCTCACCTTCTCTATCCTTCTTGTTCTTCTTATTTTGTGGCATCCCTTGCCTTGACGGGGAAAACACATAAACTGAAGACACCGTGTGATGAATGTGCTGTGAGTCATTGTTAGCACATGGCTGTAGCACTTGACTTGCAGGGAGCTGTGTGGTGTGTCACCTCCTCAGATAATTGTGCATTCAGAGTACTTCAGCATTTTGATTTTTTTTTTCCTCTTTTTTGAATAAACTTCAAAAGTACAGTGGGGCACACATGGTTTTTATAGACATGGATTTTAGCTAAAAGGACCGACTTTTAGCTAACCCTAATACAGTAAAAGAAAAAAAAAAGTCAGAAATTCGAACTCCTGAATCCATATTTAGACCTAGATCAGTGGCTTGATATTTTTATTTTTTTTTTCCTCTCTCTGAAAGTTGCCATGATTCCAGGCTTCAGGAAGCAGGAAGGCTGTTCAGAGCCATCATTCCCACACCCTGCCCACCGGCCATGCCGAGCTCCCAGCCCTGTGTGCTGGCTGGGGCTTTCTGGCTCCTCCACTGGGACAGAAAATCTTGTCTGGGCAAGCTTATAAGAGGGGTTGGTGTCCAAGATAAGAAAAGAAGTGTTTTCTTTCATTGGATTATGCATGTTCCAAACAAATAGAGTAATTTATTAGGGCCTTGAATAGGGGCTTTACTTGAACTGTTCGTAGAGAGGAGGCTTCTTGCCTTGCTGTCCTTATGAGCAGTGGTCTAACCCAAATCTCCTTCAATTTCTCTGAGAGACTTGAAAAAAAATAGACTGAGTTTCAATTTTAAATTCAAACCAAATCTTTTGAGAGTGTAGGCTAAGAAGGCCTAATGTTGGTTACTAACTCAAGGGTTTTATTCTGAGGAGAAGTTCTAGCTCCCATCAAAGTTAAATAAGTGCTTTTTTATTTTAAAAAAAAAATTGCTCTGTTTAGAAGAATAGTGAATAGCTGTTTCAAGAGTATTTTTACAGGAGAACCTGTGATGTTGCCATGCTGCTTCTTTATTAATTGTATCCTCAAATCCCTTGCCTTTTGGCACTAGGTTTTTATGCTTCAGGAAAGTGTTATTGCACTCCATTAATCTGCAAAACTACATGCACTCATTTGAATTGCCAAATCTGTAATCATGCATTCTTATGGATCAGTATCAGTTGCACACCTATTACTTATCTGATGCAATATCACACTATAGAAATATTATAACAGTTATGTAATTAGATATCTGTATATACAAATTTATATTAATAATTGTAGTAATAAGTGTCTGTAGCACAAGCACAAAGAGGCAGGTGTTTATGTAGATTAATGTGCAGGTTCTGGCCTTTCTAGAAATAATGCCATTACTGCACATGCATCCTCCAGCTGCTCTGTGGTGCTGGGCAGTGTAGAGAGGGCAAGAAGAATGTGGCAATACCTAACAGCAGTAAAACCACTAGCTGTTATAATGTGATTAACTTAAAAATACACTACTTGATAAGGAATTAGGCCTTTTTCGTGTGCTGAATAATCCTGCTGAAATGGCTTGTAAGGACAGAGTCCTCAGATCTTAGAAGGTAACTCCAGAAAATGGAGCCTCTCATTTTCTGTCAGTGCTTTTGAAATTAAGTGCATAGAGGATTGTAGCAGATATATAGTTATCAGCATGGAATTGGAGGGCTCAGCCCTGGCTTGGAGGACACAAAGGTTTGGAGAATATACATAACGGAGTTGGATGGAAATTTTCTTCTTTCTTTTTCCTGTGTGATTTTTTTTTTGCCTCTATACGATGTGCAGAAATGCATTCCAATCATCACTGTGTTTCCACCTGAGAGGAACAGAGCAGCACAGCTGTGCTATAACTCCAGCATGTGCAGTGCACAGGGAGTGCGTGTGTCTTGTGTGTGTGTGCCAGGAGTCAGTGTCACAGTCCCTGTGTCACACCAGCGCTGTCACCAGGCTGCCACGGCAGGTGTGGAGATGGAACTCAGCATTGTGCAGTGTCTGTGCAGCTCAAAACAAACCCAGCTAACTGTGATAAAGGGAGAGAAGGTACACACATCCCCAAAAGAAAATAAAGGAGGATGGAGGGAAGAGAGGGTTTGGGAATCAGTTTCTCATCACACATGAGCTGAGGTGTGGGGGTGTCCCCATCTCTCTGCTCCTCATCATCTTTCCCCAACACTTCATGTCCTCTGTCCCTGGGAGGCTCCAACAGAGGAGGCTTCGCTGCCTCTTATGATTTATCATCAGGGTGAGATATCCATCCCTCGGCACATCTGGACTGTCCCTGTGATTTTCCACTGGAACGTGGCTCGAGCCCCTTTGTTTTTCAGTCTGGGCTGTGGACATGCTCTGCTGCCTGCCAGCTGGATGGCCGGCACCCTGGCCCGTTCCCTTACAGCAGCTCCGTCTTGTCTTTGCTTTTCCCTTCATTTTTTTTTTCCCACTTTCTTCTTCTCTTCCCCCTCCCTTCTCCCCCTCGGTGATGGAAAAGCAGTTCAGATTTTCCAGGTTTACCGAAAGGGGAACAGGAGCAGCTGCAGCATCCAATAAGTGTTTTTCCAATTCTCTGTGGTGTGGAAACTCCTCTACGGGGTAATGGGGTTTCCGACTGGCTCTGACTCCCCCTACCCTAAATGGGGACACCCCCACCACTGTCAAAGTAATATTATTTTCTCCAGCAGAGGAGTCACTCCCATCAGCTGGGATGTGGCTGGAGTGTTTGATAGCTGCTGTCAGGCACAGGTTAAGGATGGGGAAGGAAAAGCGATGACTTCAAGCTTCCCAGACTCGTCCTTGCATTGATGTTTAAGCTTGACATCACCAAGGACAGAGTTAGTCAGATGTAATTTAAGAGTGAACCAATATTTTATTGCATTGGCTCCTCTTCAGACAAGAGAGCACATTTTGGATATGTTTAGTTAGAGCAGGTTACAAAGTAACACCTTTTTTTTAATTAAAAAATACTAATAATTAGAAAATATTTTGAACTGGGAGCAAAGAACATTCAGGTTTTGCCAAAATTGTCATTAATACTTTTGCCTGAAGACTGAACAGATGAAATTATATACAGGCATTTTTTTTGTGCAAATACTTGTCTGTTAAGGGTTTTGGAAAGGAAGAGTTTTCACAGAGGTTGCAGTCTTAGTTCTGTGCTGCTGATCAGCCCAATGCAAACAGCTGAAAGTGTTTGAGAAAGAAGAGGTGCAATGTGCTTACATTTCAATGTCAGGAGTTACAAAAACTGAGAGTTTTTAAAAAAATCACTTAATTTTTGAATCTTAAGAAAGTGAAATTTGTCATGGAAGTCACACTAGTGTTTTTTCAGTAAGAAGTGTAGAAGAAGGAATGAAATAATCGACCAAATATGCATTAGAAGACCTTGGCATTTAGAGGGAATTGATTCTTTAATTAAAAAAAAAGTAAATACGGTCAAGTTATATTTCTACATGTATTGAATACGAACCTAATTTTGCAGTTGTTGCAAAACAACTGCAATGGGAAACGTTCCTTTATCCCCTGTGTGGGATACCTGATATGTAGCGTATTTATCAACATCTTAAGCTACAAGTGTTTATGGCTATTTCATGCAGAATTTCAGTTTGCACTGTGTACTTCAATGATGCATTAAAAAGGAGTTTTAAACTCTTGGATACATTGAGAACTTGCATGCATGGTTTTGGGAGATGAGCACAAGTTATAAAGCTGTTGGTTTAAATCCTGGAGTTTACTGAGAGTGTGCAAGCTGGATGTGTGGATGCTACAGAACGGATCAGGTCATAACTCTTTCTGCTTTGCTCCCACAGAATGTGAGAACTTCCTGGAGGATGGGCTGAGTGGTGTCTGTGCCTCGTCACAGGGTGGTCTTAAAAGAGAGTCCGGGAGCGAGTCTGACCTCTTCCCCTTGTCTGGTGATGGGATGGAAGACCTTGTCTTTGGAAAGGTAGGAAAGCCTGGTTGGGATATGGTTAAAAAACCTCTGAGGCCTGATCTGATAAACCCATACTGCAAATGGAGATCATCTTGGTTTCACTGGTGGATTAGAAACCTGGAAACGATTATCCTGGAAAGAAATAGATGGGAAGGATCCGGTCTCCTCCTCAGTTGCAGCAACATGAGGGATATATTTACTTGCAACATAATTCCAAAACCTGTAGCCCCCAGTGTTAAAAAAAATGAAAGTAATTTTGTCTGTCCAAAAGTAAATCAGGCACCAGAGGAACAGTTGAAAAGGTGGATTTTCTTGCAAGGTCATTAGGGATTGCACAGACAATATGAAATCCATCTTTAACCCATGTAACAAAGAGCTTTTCTCCAGCAAAGGATGACCTCTGTGCTGACACCTCTAGATTTATATACTGTAATTCTCAGAGGAACCAGTGTTTTTCTGTAAATTCAGTGTGATAGGAAGGAAACACTCACTCTAAATACTTCAGGCCAATTCCAGGGAATAGTTTTGTTGCCTAGGCGACATACCTCTAATGCCTGTTTGCGTGCAAGTAGAATGAAAATGTTTTCAAGTTTGCTTAAAATCAACAGCAGAAGTCATTAATAACCTTAGTCATTCCTGTGCCCTTTGTGTTGCTCGTGGCTGAGAAGGAGGAGTGGGAGAGACCTGAGAGACAGTCAGCCTCCTGAGCAGAGGTTTTTGGCATCAACCTTTTGCGTCTGTGTCAGAGCAGCCAGAATTTATTCAGAAGGTGATTAAGTTTTTGCTCTTTAAGGATTGCCTTGCTGGTTATTTATACTTTTCTTACCGTAAGTAGATGATGAAAAAGCACCCAGAAAGAGTATAGTGATGCAGAATCAAAGGGATGTGAACCTTCTTTAGAGCAGCCATCACGCTGGTCTCCATCACACACTTTGGTGCAGCTCCAGCTCACCTGTTTGAGCAGATGCAGCTCCTGCTCTGAAAAACTAAACTTTTGGAGTAACTTTCACACTTGCTTTCAGAGAAATATATTTAATAAAACAAAATTCTGTTTGCTGAAATCAAATCAGATGATGGCAAATATTTTCCAGCAGGACGGGAAACACCACAGCCCAGGCTAAGTGATCTCATGTGCTATAAATGAACAGTAAACTCATCCTTAATGCATGTGGTAGGGCACAGAGCTCACCAGCCTCACCCTTTCCCATCTTACTCTCAAAGGGATCCGGGACCATGGATTGTGGGAATATAAGGCTGTTTGTCAGAGCTGTTTGTCTTCAGTTTTCTTGTGCAGAGTGACCAAAATTCCAACAGCCAACTGCCATTTGAGCTTGATTTAATGCTTGTATGGGGATGTGTAGGAGAATAGTGCTGTGGGAACATAGCAAATTTTATACTATACAGAATTTTATCTTTTTTCCCCTTTTATATTTGGAAAGTTACCTTCTCCAAACGCAAGAAAGAAAATTGAAACGTAAAAAGAACAGGTCGTGCAATGTAGCAGGGATGCTGCAGGGAAAGGAAGAAGTGGTGGGGAAAGCAGATCTTCAGTGGCCAGTGGAGAGAGGGCAAAGGGAGGAAATTTTTTTCTTTGTAGAAAGAGAATTTCTTAATTTGGCAGCCTTTGCATTGCTCTCATTATGTGGTGGATTGCAGACTTCTTCTGCAAATGGCTTCAAAAGGTTCCTGAGTTGAGTTTAGGAAGTTATTCAAAGCTAATCTCAACCTCAGTCGCTTTATTTGTCTCCGTTTGGCTGACTAATTTGATTCCTTGTCTCCTTTCTCAGGATTTATCCGAGTACCTTTTCTACAGTTAAAGTTATTTCTAGGAGGACCAGAGACACTAGTTTAGCATTGTGAGCTTGTTCCTTAATTAAATATTCTTTGGTTTTAGACTACTGAGCCCAGCTGGTAGAAATGCAAATTATGCATATTTTTAATAACCACTAAAATAACTGATGCCTGTAATCTTTCTTCTGAAAAATATTGTAAGATGCATGTTTTTGGTGTAGTTGATAAGTTATAAACCTATTAAATAGTACAATTTCCATATCAAATGAGAAGAGAGAGGATATGTTTATGAACAAAAAGAGGATCTCAAACCTTTTGGTGTCACGGTGATTATTGTTATTACTAGTCCAGTTCTTGTTTCTCCTTTCTGTGGAGCAAGAGTTGAACTTTTGTCTACTAGGGTTGGGTTTTTCTACTGTAGAAAAAACTCCTTTTTTAACTGCTTAATACATGAAAGAAAACTGAGGGAAGAACAAGCTGTTGTCTGTCTTTGGGCTGCTTCCATAGACATCACTTGAAATGTATAGATTGTAAACCCTGGTTCTGTCCCTGGGCCATGAAGCATTGGGGTCTATGGGGTCACAAAATCTGCAGGTACCTTAACCTGTCCCTGGTGCCTGATGTGTGCTCTGTACCACCTCCTTGCCCTCTCCTGTGCTTGTCTCTTTTCTTCCTGAAGGATGTTGTGCTGAGCCGTGTAACATGAGCTGCTGGGTTCAGGGAGCTTTAGCACTAAAACCTGCCTTGTTTTTTCAGACTTTAGAGGCTGTCACTGAGACCCAGAAATTGCTTCCAAGTCTATGGCTTAAGCAAAGTGTTTTGTTTTCTCTGCGTCAGCGCTCCATTGCCATGTCCTCTTCATCCTGCTTTTCCTTCTCCATCTCAGACAGCCTTCTGGGCAGGCTTTGCAGCACCCTCCTTCTTGAATGATTCATGCTGCATAAGGTCATCTCTCACAATCATCTGGCAACATCCTGGGGTGGAGCCCATACGCTTTGCTCATCTTAACTTTTAACCTGCCACCGAAATCCTGCGTTACTGGGAAACTTTTTAATGTGCCTCTTGGGAAATGATTCGGGCAAAGGGAGTCCGGAGCCCACAGATCATTTCCAGAGGAAGGGACTGCAAGTCAGCTTCTTGAATTTTGTTTAATTTCTGCTTTTGTTTTGGTTTACTCAAGGAAATACACAAATGCACAAGTGTTTTGCATTTATTTTTCAGAATTATTGTTTCTTTTACAAAAACAAACAAACAAAAACCGCAACAACCATGCAGAAAATACAAACCTAGAGGATTAAAAGGTTGAACAGAAAGGGGAAGACTCCTCCACTCCAAATCATAAAAGTTATGATAAATAATTGATAGGAGGCCACTATTGAGGTTAATTTTAGGGAACCTGGAGCCATAGGCAAATCCAAATAAAAATTGATTCTGCTGGATTATATGTCAAACCAACCAAAGATGTTGGCTTGATACTTTTAGTGTAAAGATATTCCAAGGAAACTTCAGGATGCCAAGGTTTAATTTTTTTCATCTTCTTTTTAAAAATACTGTAACACCTTTAATGTCTTTGTCACATGGAAGATCAGGTGACAGAGAAGGTTTGTGTCTCAGCCCTTTGCACGTTGTCATCACAGCAATGATTGAAAGAGCATTTTAATTCCCCTTATCAAGACCTCCTACAGTGGAGAGATTTAGTTGAAGAAGTTATCTTATACCCTGACCATCCTAGGGATTTCCCTTATCCTGATTCTTGAAGAAGCACATGCTTTCTTTCTCAGAATACTCCCTTTTATGCCTTATCTGATTTTTATTTACTAGCTTCTCACCAAGTACTGTTTCTGAGAGCAAAGAAAATGCCCATTAGCAAATATCTGTAAAAGCTCTTTTCAGCCATGAGGTTTATGGTCATAGTTAAGGGCTGAATTTGTTGAGGTGCAATCCAGCAAGCCTAAATTGAAGAAAATTAATATTTCTTTAATGTTTCATTTTTCTCGTAGGAAAAGAACACATTAGAGAACCACTTCTGTTCAGCAAATAGTGTCTTTTTTTACTCAAATAGGATTAAAAAGAAATGCATATTTACTGGCCCTTGGCCAGATAGCTGATTTTTTGCAGAGGTGACTACAATATAGATGTTTTAGAAGTGTCAGCCACATTTGGCATTTTGCAGACAGTCTCCTCTTTGATATTAACTGTTTTCTTTGTTTAAGAAAAAAAGTCATTGAAATGAAGGCAGAATATTTTTAGAGGAATAAGCATGGGCCACAAGTTCAAGGGAATTGTTTATTATGTTCTGTCGTCAGTCTGATGCTCAAGGTAAAAGTTAAAAGGGGCCACATTTATTTCCCTTTTTTCAAATATCTCCTTGAACTGCTTTTTATGATAGCAACCCTAAATCTTCCTTGTTAGGGAAGTGGGTTTTGTTCTTTATTTTTAACTGGAGCAGTATTTTCATCTGGGAAATAAAAATTCCTCTTTTTTACTCTAATTCCTCCGTAAATAATTTGGTGTTCTGCACTATTGTTGCTAGATTTGCATGCAAGTTAATTGTTTCCAAACTATCCTATACTTTGCACAGTCCTCTCCTCTCCTGCTGTGCTGCCCCAGTCATAGAGTCCTAGAAAGGTTTAGGTTGGAAGGGACCTGAAAGATGATCTGGTTCTAACCCCCTGACTTGGGCAGGGAACCTTCCACTAGACCAGGTTGTTCAAAGTCCCCTCCAGCCTGACCTAATGTCTGACAGTATTTTCCTGTCTCACAGAAGTGAAGCAGACTGTTTCCTCTACTGCAGGAGTATTATCCACATAATGACTACTTGATTGGTCTGTATTTTAGCAGTTCAGTGAGCTCTCATCATGACTCACACAACTATCAGATTATCTTGAATAATGCCAAACGACATCAAAACCTTCACAGGCCGTCCATTTCAGTTCCCTTTTCTTTTAACCTACACTCCTACTCAAATCTGTCAAATCCAGTAGTTTACAGAATAGAGTTTACAGAAATTCCCCATTAATATTCGACATACCTTACCATGAAATGAATGTTTGGGGGGGATGTATTTTTAGTGTGTATTTTTTAATATTTTGTGTTTAGAAGGTATATTGTTCTTTGGTGTTGTCCTGTGGATGCTGTCTTTCTTTTTTCTCTGTTTCTCTTTGGTGGATGTAAGAAGGGAAATAGGATAACATTTATTTAAACCAACTTAGGAACATAACTGTGTGTTAAAATTGTAAGAATAAAAATAAACTTCTAAGAATAAAAAATAGCTAAGCATGAAATAGGTCTTCCCTCTAAATAGTGAAATATTTGATTAGAACATTTTTTGAACATCTCAGTTTCTTTTTATTCAGTTAAATAAAATGTTTTTAGCTTACAATGTGTGCTCATCAAAAAGAGCACAGAAAAGCAAAAGTCTCTGGAGTGTTTAACACTGCTGGAGTTGAATGAAGTCGGTGGGGTGGGATCCAGGGTCAGGACTTCCGTGAGACAGCACTGCTGTTCATCCTGCCCTCTGTGGGTTCTGATGTCCATCTCTCCCTTCTGAGAACGGGATTTTGCAGCCCACAGTCTTCTGCCAAATGAGAGCTGACAGCCTGCAGCTCCTCCAGTGCTCAGCTTCTGCCCAGCCCTCTGAGCCCACTGCTTGAGGACAATTACCCGCTGTGGCTTTGCTGAATAGTCTGTTGTACATGGCCTGACAGAGCATTCTGACTATTATTATTTTAAATGATACAGCACAGGGCTCTGCAGGAGGATAAATTGAAACTTCCCACATAGGTCCCTCAGGGCAAACACCATTTCAGACTGGAGGTGATGTCAGAGAGATGCTTGTGTTTTTTGTGTTAGCCACGGGGAATGCAGAATGCACACGGGCTCTTCTCAGGCTGTATGGTCAGCATGTGGCCTTGGGCCAAAGAGAACCAATTTGGCTTCTACATACTGTTTTTTGAGCAAACTAAACCCAAAAATTGCAGTATGACTCGAGACCTGTAATACAGGGTGGCTGATCCTGTAGAATATTTTTTTTTAATTACAGTTGGATTTGAAAAATACTGCAAACCCTGGTATTAACTTTCTACTTAATGGAAAGTAGCAGGGGACAGGGATTTAAGCTTTTATTTTTTTTCTGTCTATTTTCTGCTAGTGAGTAATTGTCCCTTTTGTGCTGCATGATGCAGTAGAACAGTGCATTGGCCTTAAGCTCTACAAGCCGATCCCGGTCTCACAGGAGAGGCTGGAGTTTGTCATCAGGAGTTGTGATGACCCAGTTCCCATTACTCGCTCTCAGTAAACCTTTGGCAGTTTTATGGCACCTTGATTAATAATAGGTTTAACCAGAAATGGTGAGAGGAACAGGATTTGCTGTGCAGGATGAAACGTGGAATTAGGGAGAGGAAGGCAGGCAGAGGACCTGAGATGGGAGCCCAGGGTTATGGCAGCCAAGGGTGGAAGAGATCACCCTGCAGAGCATTTGACCCTCTTTGGAAACCAAAGCAAAAAGTCTTGGTTCTGTGATGGTTAATTTGCCTTAAGCTATTAACTAAGAAATCTCTCAGCTCATGTGAAATATAAAATATTTGCATTTATTTAAAATGCTAAATGTATTCACTTCATTGGAAGTGTTCAAGGTCAGGTTGGATGGGACTTTGAGCAACCTGATCTAGTGAGCAATGTCCCTGCCCATGGGAAGGGTGTTGGACTAGCTGATCTTTTAAGGTCCCTTCCAACCCAAACCACTCTATGATTCTACTCTGATATATTTTTAATTCTTCTTGCCTACAGCAGCCTGAAGAGGAGCAGTCTGCATGTGATGTCACCAGCTCCAGTTCCTCTGCAGATGACACCATGTCCCTGGAGAGGAACTCATCCCTGGGCAGCGACACATCCCTTCCCTTCCCACCGACTGTTAACTTTGCCCAGCCCAAGGACAGGCACAGCCTGGATGGCAGCTGCACCAACATGGTGGCCTCTGAGGGAGGAGAGAAGGAAGAGGAGCTGGACAGTATCACAGATGTGCCCACCCATTCCTCTGTCTTACGCAACTCCATGCGGCCACTGTCTCCTTTCCGTCGGCACAGCTGGGGGCCAGGGAAGAATGCCACCAACGAAGCAGAAATAAACCAGAGGAGGTGAGTGTAGAGCTGCTTTGATTTACTTTACACCCATTCATGTACATTTATTTGAGCTTTAGGCTTGGCATGATAAAACAGAAGAGTGCGGACATCGCTTCTGATTATTTCTTTTTCACTCCAAGGGTTGAAGACAATCTCCTAACATATGTTTGTTCGTTTTTCTTAAATTAACTTTCAGGGTTCAGGGTTAAAGTACTTAATATCTACAGTATGCTTAAGCTTTTCAGAGTAAATGGAATTACCTTGGGAAAGGTTTTACATTAGAACTGTCATCACCCCTTTCTATATGAAGGGCTTTGCTAAGGGAATTATTGGAGTGTTAAATCTTGTTGATCACAAAATAAACATGGCCATTATTGCTCTGATTGTATTAAGACATAGCACAGGCTTTTAGAAATGGTGTGGAGGCTCTTCATAGAGGTGAGGTGGGTCATCCCTGTTTCACAGAATTGGTTCCACCTCAGTCTGTCTTGGACAGTAAGTCCACTTAACTCATCACCAATGCCCCTGGTGGTGTCCGAGAAGATTCAAAAGAGTAGTTTTCCCAGTAGTTCTTTCAGAAGATGCAAGAGGGAGAGGTATAACAGCCACGTGAGTGTGTAAATTCTGGTGCCAAGTGACTGGGGGAGAAAAATTTGCTCAGTCCCCCTTCTCAGTGGGGAAGATGAAGTAAAGGAAGATGCAGACCGAGAAGCAGTAATTGGTGTAAGGTTCCCTGCTATGCTCTGTTCAGCATCAGGGCTGCTGGACACTTGGGGTCAAACCCTGCATGTTCTGAATCCAGTGGAGGTTTGGCCAGTGTTTTTAATGTGTTTAAATGCTTTCAGAGCATTAAAACTGAGTTGTTTTAGGAGGGCCAGGTTCCTCCCTGCAGCTCACTGAGGCTGCAGGCCCCGGCATGCAGTGCAGTGCCACTGTCTTGTCTGCCTGCTGCCGTCCTCATGGCCTCAGGTCTGCTCTTAACAGAAAGAGAGTCTTTGCATTTGGTGATGGATGGCATTAAATTAAAACTGGCCACTCACAACTGTTTCCTGGTAAATTTTTACTGACCTGTTTGGATAATCCAGGGAGAGGCAGCAGCCTCCCATCAGGAATGTGTGCATTCTTTTTACACATTAGGAGCAGTGGGTGTCAGTAAGGGAATATTGTATACCCTTCAGGTTTTAAAGTCAAGGTTGAAAAACATTCAGGACCCTCTGAGTAACATAGGATGAAAGATTTATTATTATTGTTTTCTACCACTGTCACCTTTTTTTGGGCTTCATTCTTGGTACTCAGGTAATATTTACATAAATTAAGTAATACTTGTCTTTTTAAAGCTACAAAAGAGTCAACATATGACATACGTGCAGGTTTATGACAGAATGAATCCATAAGCTTTTAAACTCATTTGAAGAGATTTATTTTTAAGTGTAGGACTTGTTGCATAAGGATTTCTGGGGGTAATAAACTGCATAGCTGGCAGTCACTGCTAACACTGAACAGATGGGGTTAAATTCTGCTCAGATTTGGAGGCTGTTTCTGATAAGGGAAAATACATTCATTGTAAATGTAAGAAAATATGAGTAAAAGGAACAGTAAGTGTTCTCTTATGTTCTCAGATACAGCTGTGGCTACATAAGGATAGCTGTCACATAGGTTAATTAAAAAAGAAAAGATGGGTGGATCTATGGTGCTGATTTGGTTTCTGTTTGGTTTTATGCTTCTGTTAGAAAGGAGTTTGGATTATTTGGTTTGTTATTTTCTTGTTTTCCTTGTTCTTTTCACATGAGGCTGTTGTGATGTTGAGTCTCTGGTGGCTTAGTGAGCAACAACAAATACTGAGGAAGTGAAGCACAAAGAAGTGACTTTCATAGAAATCAGTTAAATTTGGAGTGTTTCCTTATTCATTTATTTCATATGCAGTAGATACTTTTTCATTTAATGGGAAAAAAGCCTTATTTGTAACTTGCCTTTTGCAAATCTTTAAAGTGAAGTAACGTAGAGCACAAGCCTTAGCTAAGGTTTGTCCTGCTGATGTGCTGGATCTGTGCTGCTCCCAGCACCTGCCACACTCTCTCCCCTCCCATGGGCACCCATGGCACTTCTATGCTCTGTAGGTGAGCAGGGTGCACTCACTAAATGGGCAGAAATTAACCAAATAAAGTGTAATTGCCACCAAAACCAGACCAAGGATTAGAACTGGGCTGTGGAGCCAGGAGGAGGTGTCTGTCACTGATGGTGACAGACTGCACCATCAACTGAACTCTAAGAAGTGCCTTCTGTCCCAGGAAAGGACTTGCAGCCTGGTCCAGCCCCCATCCACACCAAAACCAGTCTTTCCCCTTATGACGAATATGTAGCTAAGTCAAGCTTAAATAGAGCTCCTGATACAGGACCCAAAAAACCTACAGGAAAAAATCAGTCTTTTTTAGGATTTGGCCTTTTCCACTGTTCATGTTACCTGTTGTAAGAGGAACAAGCGTAAAAGTTTGTTCACAGAAAAGATCTGAAAAAAAGGTAATAATCTTAAATGAAATGTGAAAAGATGCTCAGTTCCCCTCCACTTCCCCTCTCTCCTCAAATGAACTTCACAGATAATCCTCATGTCTACATTTTGCTATTAAAAACACAAAGAAAACCAACAAGGTTGCCACAAAAGGATGTTCATCCTTCAGTTAATTCCTGAAATTCATAGGGGATTTGAAATGCCTGTCTTTCAACAATGCTGCAGTGTGTTTAATGTTCCGGCCGAGGGACGAAACGCCGCTGTTTTCCACTGGTGGATTAAGCACTGCAGAACTGGAACTGGTGTTAATCACTGTTGCTAACAGCTTCTGTCAAAGAGGTTGGCCTTATCTAAACTTTAAACTGACCTGGCTTTGGCAGCAGCAAAGTTGCAATATGGTCAATACCTGTGCAACCTTCTCTCTGTACAAAATGCAACAACCGAAACCCGGATTTATTTGTAATAGAGAGGAGGAACACAGAGACTCATTACTTCCTTTAGTATTTCATTTTGTGTTTTCCCTGTATGTCCATTCCCTCTGTTTGTGTGTCAGGGATATTAATCCCTTAGCTACCATTTGTTCATTTTTTTTCCATTCAAGCTGCTGACCACTCTCCATGATTCATTTTCAGTTCAATGCGAGTTCTGGGGGATGGTATAAAGAAGCCTCCCATTCATAGGAGAAGGTACAAAGCCAACTAATGTAACTAACTGTTTTGCCTTTGTATGTCTACTAACTCCATATTCTCATGTTAGTAAACCCGTAGTACCTCTGGAAGTGTTGGCATTAGAGGTGTGCATCCCGCTTGGCTGCTTTCCCTCTCCAGTCTGACCCAGGGCAGTTTTTCTGCCCCACAGAGCACATGCCCAAGCCATTTTCTCCAGGATGATATGTTAATAACTTGGAGAAGTCTCAGATATCATTTAGTTGGCCTTTGCTGTGTGTAAGATTTGGAGCTGTGTTAAAATGATTGTTTACCTGGGAGCGTGTGTGTGATTTAGATTTAAAGCACATCAGGGACTCCTGGCAAGACTTGCAGAAGGGGCACGTGGGGAGGGAATGGATCAGACGCAATCTCACATTTAGAGAACACTGCAGATCTGCAGCTAGTTGAACTAAATGGCTTTAATTTTGCTGGTTTTATGTTTTTTATAATCATCTTCCTAAAAAAATAGGTAGTAAGGTGTGTTTTTCTCTTTATTTCCATGTGTTTTTCTTCTCTATAGCAAACTTTCATGTTTTTTCAGATCCTCTTTCATGAGGAAAATGCAGATAGGCATTTTCACTCGCGTAACCTTTGTGTTGTCTATTAATATATAAAACAGGGCACTTAATTTTTGACACAGCAGATGTGTACTGACCACACTTAGACATTTTAGGCTAAAGAAAATATAGCAGTTTAACCTCTCCTCTTCGGTGGTACAACCCCTTCTCATCTCCCACAGCCTGCTACCTCTCCTCCTGTGGCAGGTTAACTCAGTATTTCCCTTCCCTTGAAATGGATGGCGTGATGTGTGTGCAAACAAACTACCACATTTCCACATGTGAAGATGTTACAGTGATACTATGACCAAAAAAATCCCTGTGCCTTATCATGCGTCAGCATAAATGAAGCCCTACGAGCAGTACTGTACAGTTCAGGAGAGAACTCTTAAAAAAGAACACGCTTTTTTATTTCTAAGAAGCCACTCTATTTGCATCAAGTGTGTTCTGGAGGAAGCCGTGCAGTGCTCGTCTTCTCAGCTCATGCAAATGAACATCTCTTTATCGGTCATCTCTTATGGCTTCTCTGTAGGAACCCTGTCAGTTTTTAGGGTCAAAATAACTTGAAACACTGAGTTTACATGTAGAATGGAGACAATGTTTCAGATAGGCAACCTAAAATCCCTAGTCTTATCTGAAATGTGTGGCAGTTCTTTCATAAGCACCCTCTCTCTTTTTCTGGCCTCCCAACCATTTTGATATCATCCTCTCTAACCCCACTTGCAGAGCAGCAGCCTGAAACAGATTCCAACAGTTTATGCTCTCCCACAAGGCTGATGTAGGTAACAGCTCGTCCCCCTTCCCTAAGTTATCTTCTGCAGAGGCGTTTTTTATGCTCTGCATTGATCTTGTTTGTTTTTTATAGTGTTGCCAACAGATTGTGGGTGGCTCCCCAGCAGGGCTGTGATTCTGCAAGAGTGCTTTCCACAGCCCTTGCCAAAAGCTCTCTTTCCTTCTTTGGGATCTTACACCACCTTCAAACTTCCTCCTGCATAAATATGGCTCCTCTTCTTCCCTCCCTCTGCTCTTCTCTTCCCTGCAGTTTTAGCACTTGGGTGTATCCTCACCCAATTAACATCTTTTATAAAACAGGTAGCAGTTATTTTCCTGTTATTATCCTGTTCTGGAGCAAAGCGTTCTCTGGCCATGTCCTCTCCTTGCATGGATCACAGGCCAGGGGCTGGGAGCAGGACTTGTGCAGTGCTGCTCTGGCAGATCTGTGCTGATGCAAAATTCCCTTCAGACGATGTATGTTTCCTGGACAGCTTTTCCAGGATTTAGGGATCATTTATATGTCATAGCTGACAGGAAGATGAATTTCTCTGTGTCTACAAAACCTGCAATTGGGCCATGAGCTGACAGAGAAAAAATAACAAAAGCAGTGTTTAAAATAACAACTAAAATATTTGCATACTGTATTTGCATTTCTTATGTCTTTCATGATGCAACTTTGAGACTCTTTTGGGGCATGGGAGCTGAAAGGTTTTCTAGTCAGAAACACTCTTGATTTAATCCCAAGTTAATAGTAAGACAAGCCTGTTTTTTCCTTCCAGCCTCTTTCAATGACTTGCTGTGCAGCATTTAAGAATGGTCTCTCTCTCCTTATTTTTCCCAAGCGTAGCCTGAGGTTGTTAATACTTCTCTGGAGGGGACTTAAACTATTAAATATCTATAAGGGATTCTTTTTCTGATTTGAGGATGAGAGTTACCAGAAAAATACTAATCATTACTAACACAATGGCTGTGTGTGATTACTTGTGCAGAATTGGCTTTGGTATGTTTCAGTCATGTTTTTCCCAAAGAACTTCACTCTCCACGAGGAGTGGTTTCTCCAGTACATTGTACACCAATGGGATTGGTTTGGGGGAAGCATGGGCTGTCCTGCTACCTGTGTTGTGGTAACCTCGGGCATTTGGGGCACTGCGGTGTGTTTGTGCAGCCAGGCATATGCTACTGCATTATTTCTGAGTTGGTTGGTCGGGATTTTTTTTCAAGATATGTAAAAGTGAGAGTCTTTTACCATTCCCCTGTTCCATAACAATCCAATAATCACTGCCCTTTTCCTTTCTTTGCCTCTTTTGATGTTCCTAGTTTGAGCTGGTGTCCCTCAGGCGTACAGTACCTTGCCATGGGTCCTGACTTTACTTGTAGAAGGTATGGTATGAATAAATGTGCAGCAGCAAAGGAGCACTGCAAGCACCCTGTTGTCAGCTTTTCGTGCATCCCACCGCTGCTCTGGCTGAAGCGTGCACGTGTTTGTTTGCTTGGTCTGCTTTTTCAGCCATTAGTCTTGGGAATGGATCTTCTGAGCTGGGGTGCAGGTGAAGGTGGTGGCTGCTTTTCACTGGCCTCCAGCGTTAAAGAAGCTGCACTGTTGGGTTGAGCTGCTCTGCTCCGTGATGACTTTAAGCCGTGTTTTTTCCACAGCAATGATCATAATGATAATTGTGTCAGCCAGAGAATCAGAACAAGATTAAATATGATTCAACACTGCTCTGTTCCAGATAAATCTCTTAAAGGATTTAAGTTCATACAGACTTATTCTTTGTAAATTGAAAGATCTGGTTTTTTCTTCAAAGAGGCTAATCATGTAAAACCCTCTGTGAAAAATCAATCTGATCACCTCAGATGAAAATTTCCCAGGCATTTAAAGATTGCATCTTCTGCAGAAAGTCCCAGAGTTGAGATTGGTGTTTGCAGGTCACCTCTTTACACATAATATTGCTTGGAAACCAGTCCCCCAGATTTTATAGCTTTTTTGCATTTTCTCTGGCTATTCTTGCTGGTTGTGGGTAGAACAGTTGAACTCTTTTTCTGAAGAGTAGATATTGAGAAAAATCTGTCCTTCCTATTACAGATTTAATTACATATGGTCTATATACTCCAATCAGCAAATTACAGAACAGTATCACCCACTGATAACTATTTCATGGGGTAATATTTGCAGCTTTTAGCTGGTTTTGTCACAAGTACATAATTTTTTTCTGCACCGTGTACCATCACTGTTACCACCTTGGAATGTAAGAAAAAATATTCTTCTGCTCTAAATAATCAGTAGAAATGGGACTGATTTCTCTCTACAGGTGTTTTAGAATAAACTTTTTAGTGCCTGCTATAAATACACGTTGATGAGTTGCAATCTTCTTAAAGCAGATTAAATTATGAATGCTTCAACCAGCCTTTTTTTCTCATTAATTACCATGAAAAAAATCTTTTGAATATACCAAATCTTCTTATTCAATGTTTATTGCAATTTTTGCTTTCAAGGTGCATATTTATCAGCCACTTAATGCTTCTAAGGGACTCCAGAACATTAATCACTACTCTGCAAGTCTACCTGAATTTAAAACTACTCTGGTTGTTTAAATCATCTGTACAGTCTGGAGTGTGTTTTCCCTTTCATTTGTTTACATGTCAGCTTGTTGACCACTTAGATGTCATGATTAGCCTCAGATTGGGATATAAATCCAAGGTAGACCTTGGAGGACTTCGTGAGTATCAAATCAAACATCAGCAATGGAATTGTGCTCGTGTACTGGGAGGTGAATCTGTGAAGCTTGCACATGATCCCACAGTGGCATTTCAGTGGGTTTGTTGATGCTCAGGCCTGAAGAGCATGAGGGTCAGAAGCAGAATATTAGGTCAAGATTTATCAGATTAAATAGTCCCAGGTGAAAGAGGGGGTGACAACATTTATTGAATTCAAGAAAAAGACAACAGAAAAGGTAGAAAAGAAACCAGCTTTGGCAGAAAGAAGGACATTATCAGTGCCAAAACTTTGTGCAGTGGCAAGCTTTAAAATAGATTCAGTGGCTGCAGAGATGAATGTTACAGCAACTGATGTGGCTACTGGGAGGGGTGTTGGTCCAGGACAGGCAGCACCGTGCTATACAAGGTAGTTTAATTTGGGTGACTTTATTCCAAGGGAGAGCACAGTAAAAAGCTAGGAAAAAAAAAAAGTGGAAATACCAAAATCATTAGAAGGGGTGTTTCTGGATTTTCCTGTGCACCACTCAAGAAGAATAGGAAAAAAACAGTAGGAAAGGCTATTGACCAGGAGTTTGAATGGTCATTCAAGCAACTACTGTGTCTCATTAGAGGCACAAAGGTGCTGTGGTTTGCTCTGAAGAAAATAGAAGTAACATGTTGAACAGTAACATCTGCATTTCCCTGCACAGTTAAGTTAGTGACTGCCGTGTGTTTTACACGTGAAGGTGCTCTGTGCTGAAAGACACTGGTCTCCAGGAGTTTGTCAGCATCTAACCTCTGTGCTTTCTCTTTAGTTACAGCCTAGAAGGCCTTGCTGGAGACTCTGGTGAGAACAAGAAGCCCTCTACAAACTTGGAGGCTTCTTCCCTGAGCTCCAAAGACCTCAGGCGGAGTCCACTTGCCAGCAATCAGTGTGGGTCACTGGTCCTGCTCACTGAAGAGCAAGGAGAAATCAGAGACTATGGTCACCAGGTAAAACTGTCCAGCTATTGTTAGATGTCAGCAAAATGCTGCATCAGCATTTTAAAAGCAATTTTCCCAAGTGACAGTCTCACAAAAGCTTCCACCCTATATGTGTATGTGTGTGTATATATATATATATAAAATTAAAAATCTTCCATCTTTAACATGGAGGAATCTCCATCTGTGTTAAGTTTGCTGTTTGGTTCTTTGGGACAACATGGTTGATGGGCAAAGTCTTAGGATGAGAACAAGAAACCTCCCAGTTTTCTTCCACCAATTGTGTGAGTAATTATGGAAAAGTTATTTAATTTTTAGCATGGATATAGTGATTCTATCAATCAAAGGTGTTGATTGAATGAAAAATTGCTTCTGCAATTAATGCTTATGCTGCCTTTTGCAGTCCTGAAATACACACATACCAAGTATTGATTTATCTGCTAAAGTTTCCAGGTTTATTTTTGTATCATAGGAGGAAAATAAAGTTTTTTTCTTTCATAGGTTTAATCAGAATAAAAAGTTTCATTAAAGAAAAATGGTAATTGCATATTAAGAAAATATGAAGTAACCTCTCTGGAACAGAAGTCTCTGATAGCTGTTAAGGACAGATGAGCCACAATATTATGAGACTCCCTGTTAATTGTTATTAAAGAAGTAATTATTCTTTTAAATACTATAAATACCCTGGATTTTTGAGTTGGAACTTTCAGCCATAGTATTTTCTGGGTTCATGTCAGAATCATTAACCATCCAGTCTGTTTGCCTGATAAAGTCACTGCTGTACATCAAGGCAGTAAACGGGTCTTACAGGATCTGGCCTGTCGAGCTGTAATGTCACAACTCTCACGTCTTCTTTTGCTTTGGGGAATGGCATTTTTGAGGTACGCACTGCTAAGCATCAGATTTCTTTTACCATGTTGAACCACAGTAAAGTTACTCCGAGGAGTTGGAGTCACAGTAATTTCAGTGGCTGTCAGACAGTTAACAATATGTGTCTTGTAATATCTTGCAAGAAAATCAAGGAGCCAGAGTCTCTCTCTGTTGCATAATTAGTTGTCTTACACTTAAAAGACAAAACAAAATGCTGCATTTCACCTGTGCAACACTGATTACATTTTTCGTGGTACTTGACTTTCTCACCTATTATCTTATTGTGGGATTGTTTAAATTTTTCAAAGTGAGAATTTCAGTAAACGTGAACACTGAACTGGGATCTGAAATTGGGATGGTTCTGTTGTTCTTTATATAATTACTCAGTGTGGTTCTTTTCTGTCCTGCAGGCGCGTCAGACATCGCAGCCACAAGGATTTAATTTCTGTTCTTCTGCTGCTTCATCTCCACTGACCAAATCCATGTCTCTAATGTCAATTAGCAAACCAGTGCTCGACAGTGAGTAACACAGTTTTCCCTTATCCATGCTGTCATCTGTATTATTGAGTATATCCTGCTACCTTCCCAAGGCAGAATGTGCTAGTAGCTGCTCTCGCTCTCCTATATTATGTGAAATATATGTTTCACTGCTGAATGGAATTGTGGGTGGAAAGGCAGAACTCAGTCAGTTTAGTTTAGTTTTTCCCAGTATATCCTTAGTATTTCTTTGTGTTAGGTTTCTTTTGGTTTTTTTTCTTAAATTAAACTATTGGTACAAATTGAGTTTGTTATTTTAAAAAAAAAAAGGATTTAATTTTACATCCTTTCAGAATTTCTTCCATTGATGTCAGGCAAATTCCACGTGATATCTTATTTCCCTGCATCTAGATTTTTGAAAGTTGATGCGTGGAAACTTGAGAATCCATGTCTTGGTCTCTTTGGGTAGTTTGTTGCTATTTATTTTGAATTAAATATTTTGGAGCAGTTGGGTGTAATTTATTGAATCTCATTCCTGAAGAAAATAATAAAACATGATTCTATGAAATTTTCCAGTTTAGCTTAATTGAAGTGATAACAAGTACTCAATTTTGCAACTTGACTGAATTGATTCTTTCAGCTGAAAAAGTCATTCAGAAGGCTGCAGCTGGATGTGCTTAGAAAGGGCTGAGTTACACATGTTTTCGTTTTATTAATTGCCAGCCAGAAACCAAACTGACATCTTAGCTCACGTCTTGTCAATTAGTGATGGTCTCTGATCTTTCCTCTTGATTAACATGCTTCTTCCTTGCAAAGCTGAACAAGGCAAAGGTGCTTTAAGAAAGGCGTTTTATTCACGGAGCAGGCTTGCTGGAGGAAGCTCACAGGGATTATGCTTTGTAGGAGACATTTTTAAATTCTTCACCATGATTATTCCGTGATTAATAAGAATGTGGCCTAGCGGATGTGTCCCCCAGCAACGGTAACCAAAACATGGGCAGCTCTGTCCCGCCCAAGGCCGGATCCTGCCTTCCCGCTCCCCTCCCTGGGTGAAGGCCTTCATTGTTGTTTTTTGGAGAAGCCAATTTATTGGCATTGCACCCAACCGCTGACCAGACACCATAAATAGCCCTGTTTGCTCCCCAAAAACGTGGTGTTGGTGGCTGAGGGAGCCTGGACGGCTGAGGTTTGTCCCCCTCTCCCTGGACACTTTCCTTCAGACCCACAGTGGGGGTTTATGACAGTGGAGAATTTGTGCCTCCGTCTTGGAATTGGACAACTTGCTGCCTTTTTGCTCCTCTCTGTCCTATGACCTACGTTAAAAATGCCATTGAGGCCTGAGAGCTGGTGGTAGGCAGCTTTGATTATTCCATCTTCTGGAGCCAGCCTAGGCACCATGGTCCCATGGAGACAGAAGGGGAAGAGAAGATGTAGTAAGCTCTCCAGAGGGGCTGTGGAAGAAATAGCAGGATTAATCTTCTGCTTTCAGGAGGCAGATGTCTGTGAGTTTGGGATGCTGAGCTTAAAAATTACAAACACTCCTGTGGGCTTTATTTTCTCAGTCATTAATTTGTGATTCCTCAGAAGAGCCTCATTTTTATAGGAACGTGGTTTTGAAAATCAATGCGTTTGAGGGGTTGATGTAAGCATCCGAAAGGAATAATCATTTGAAAATTCAGATCATGGGTTCTCATCCCAGTCCTGACTCTTTCCTGACTTCAGAAACTTCAGTAATTCGCCCAGAGAAGCTGGGGATGCCACATCTCTGGATGTGTTCAAAGCCAGGCTGGATGGGGCTTTGAGCAACCCAGTCCAGTGGAAGATGCCCCTGGCCATGGCAGGGGGATTGGATCTTTAAGGTCCCTTCCAACCCAAACCAGTCTATGATTCTATGATTTTACTTCATTCTTCCTCAGTCACTTTGAAAGAAGAATAGTGTTGCTTGAATTGTGACCATATGACAGGTGAAGTAGCTTTAGTGCCTTTAGAAGGTCTCAGTGTATAAACTTCCTTGTATCACTGGGGTTTGACATTCCTGTTACTTCAGCAGAACACTTCAGAGTTGTGCAAGAGTAAAAATTGATTTCATGGAAATAATTTTGCATAATTTTGTGGTAGGTGTTAAAAAAGTAAAAAACCCCAAACATCTGATCCCTGCAACTGTGTCTGAATGAGAAGATAACAACGTGCTTTGCACAAAAACTTTAAAAACTAAATCCAAATTAATAATACATGGAGGAATTTCTCTTATTTTTACCATTTATTGTCACATGTGCTGAGGCAGGAGCAGTTTCCAAGACTGTATTTCTATCCCACACTCCCATCTGATTTCTCAGATGTTCCAAGAGCTGTTGTGGCCATTCACAACTGTTAATCCTTCAGCATTTTATAGAGGGAGGTCACAAGAGCTGTTGGCTGGAGTGCTCGGAAGAATGGTTTCGGCCTTGGAATAGCAAATTTCCAGTGTGGAGCACTGTTATAAAGCCAGGAATTGCTATAAATAAAACCACTGAAATGGAAGTAGAACTGTGCTGGAGAAGGTGGTTCAATTTACAGTAAAGTATTATTGTTCATCTTGACTTTTAGTCTAAATAGACAGTAGACTACAGAAGAAAAAGCAGTGTTGCCTAATCATGTTCTTCAGGTCTGGGACACTAAAACAACTCCTTTGAAAGGCAGTCTAAACAAAATTAATGCATCAGTCTTACTAAGAATTCTTCAATTTAAATGCCTTATATTGAGTCCCTCTAGGGTTGTTCTGCTTATGTTGGAAAAGTGTGCACATTCTAGTCAAATTACCTCTGGACCATTGGCATTTATGATTAATGGCTGAAGGAAAATTTCTGGGGAGTTTGCTTTGCATTGCTTGCATTGCATTGGATATTCCTCGGACAATTTTTTTTATATTCTGAATTCAGTATTGGCGTATGATATCAGCAATGCAAAAAATTCTCATTGTGTGTGGCTGAAAGGACATGTTTTATTCAAAGAGAGCAATAATTGCTTCTTCTGTCTCTTGGAAGTTTAATGCTGATAAAGTCTTTAACCTGTTTTCCCTGTTGTGCAAGTGAATTGATTTATCTGTGGAATGACTTAAAAGTGACTGAATATATGCACTGAAGATGTTTAATGTAGATGCTTAAGTAGGACCCTTAGGTCAGACCTGTCTCAGGGGCAGAGTTTCTCCAACGCTGTCCCAGTCATCTTTCCCAAGGACACACTGATGCCCCATGTCAGTGATGTGTATCCAGCAATCAGGTCACAGCTGAGAGGTTTCCACCTGTGCTGGTATGAAGAAAAGGTTTGGAAAATACAGCCCTTGGGAATTCCACTTTCAGTGAAGAGTGACAATCTGGCTCCTGCATCTCTTTTTGGAGAAGAGTGTACTTAAAAAGAATTGTTGCAAAGCTGCTGCTGTGCAAGGTTTTCCTCTTAAAAATAAATTGTGGGAGATTTGATGTCACAGACTGATTGCTGAGTTTGGCACTGTGTTTGGTAGGCATCTTTCACACATGGACAGAAGAGGATGCAGAGGAGCTTTTCTCATGTTTAGGCAGTTTCTTTAAAAAAGGGCTGTGAGTTTTAGAAGGTGGCAGAAGAGATGGTTGTTTCTTCTGTTTTATTTTGGAAGAAAAGAGAGGAAGCTTAAGTGTCTCCTCTTCAAATTTGGAAATTTTGAAGGGTGTAACATTATCAAAATTTGAGGATTTTTTTTTTTAGAGATAGAAGTGGCAAGAACCTTCCCAGTTAGATTATGTCAGCACTTCAGATAAACTATCCTTGCTAATGTCTGGCAACTTTGCTGTGTTGTTCTAATTTGATTCCCTGGCAGTTCTTTCAGTGAAGCTGATGCCCCTTGTCCAGAGACCCACTTTACTGCTGGTATTCTGTTTGGGAAAATAACTGTTTGCATATAAGTCTTCATTAAGAGGTCCTATAAAAAAAGATACCAGCAAAAATAGGGAAAGCCTTGAACCTCAAGCTATGCATGCAGTGAGACCTGCGTCCTCTGAAACCTGCACCTTATGGAGTTTGCATGTTCTCAATTCTTTGTTTCTTGTGCCTTTTCTGGAGCCAGCTGCTTTGCAGACGTTTCCTTTGCTTTCGTTTTAGTTTGCTTTGGCCGCTTTCCTCTCCTTTTTATTATTAAATGCATTTTCAAGCATGCTCTAATGTCTGCTGTTAACCCACTTCTCAGCCCAGGGCCGGACTCGACCATCGAGACGAATCTCCTTCTCCTTCAGCATCTCTCCACTCATTCCTAAGTCTAAAACTCTCTTTTCTATTGGCTCTTCTTCCAGTGATGATGAGGAGGAGTTGGATAGTAAGTAATCGTTTTCTGTGCGTTGCAGCCATTATGGGTGGAAACAAAGGGAAATCTGATTTTCTGCTTTAGACCTTGGAATTTCACCTTGCAAACACTGAACTAACCTTTCCATTGTGTGATGTCTAACAGCATTATCTTAGTCCTGTATCTGAATACTAGCTAATGGCAGAATAAAAGGATTATAATCCAAAGAATCTTGTACATCAGCACCATCATGTCTCATCCGGTTAGTTTTGGTCTGTATCCAAGTGGCAAATATCACCTGCCACTCTGACCAGCAATGTAATCTTTACCTTTTTATTAAAACTAAAAGAACTTGCCTTGAGCTTGTTACAGGGCATGAAGTTAGCAGCAGAGGTAGGTCCTTGCCCTTCCTGGGTAAGAGTGAGTACATTGCTCAGTGAAAGAGAAGTGGAGTGAAGCCCTGATTATTAAATTCTGAAAATCTTGGTGGCAACTTCACAGTTCCCCTCCTAAGCAAAAAGCACACATTGCAGTCAAACACCTTAAATCCTCAACGTGTTCATATCTAGGTCCTGATATTATTATCAGAGTAGTTTTGTGGGAAATGGGCAAGAGTGATCCGGTAGCTTTTTTTTCCTCCTGCGAACTGTTACTAAAAGAAACCCAACTGAGGCTGAAGACTGATAATTAAAAATGTTTCCTATTTCTTAAGCATGTTTTATTAGACTGTTGAAATAAACCAGACACATTCCTTGTGTCCATACTGGAATGGGGGGAAATTGCTTTCCCATCCAACACATTTTTGGTTGCTTCCTGAATTTAAAACAATCTCCAACACCACAATCTAAAACACCATTCGTGTTGTAGGTATCTAAGTTCTCCTCCTTTCCATTCCTAGTCTTCCCTGTGGGTTTGTCCCTTCCTTAAGGAAGTCCTGTGCCCAGGTGTGGGATTACTGACTTCCATATTTAAGCTTCTTCATCTTTGCTCTGTTCTTCTCTTCTGCCTTTAACAAAACGCAAAATTCGTAGTCCCCACAAAGTGAACTGTAAACATGCAACTGTGCATCAGTGTGATGCTCCACAGTAAAAAGTACCCTCAGCTAAACTTTCTGGTCAATTTGGAATTTTTTTGTTTGTTAGGTTTTTTTATTTGTTTGGGTTTTTTGGTTTTGTTTTTTTGTTTGTTTTGTTTTTTTGGGGGAGTTTTGTTCTTCTGGGGGTTTGTTGGGTTTTTTTGTGTATGTGTGGGTTTGGGTTATTTTTTATTACTTTATTTAGTTTTGTTTGTTTGTTTTAAGCATCCAACCCATTTAGTAATATTTAATAGGTTAGGGTATGACAATTTTAGGGGATATTTATGTTAGCCAGTATTTGCCTTCTCTTCTCCAACAGTGCTCCTGCTAATGATGATAATTTAAAATAACATCAGATATTGTCTCAAACAAAAATGTTGGTCTCTTTATATGTGTTTTATTTCCTCATATTTGAGGGTGCTTTGGTGACTTTATATAAAGGTTAGTTTAACCACAGCTATTCATAAGACAGTGGGCAGTGGGCATTTTTCATGTAGTATTCCCAGATCAGTTTGTTTTTTCACATCTTCAGGATTCATTTCTCATAAAAGGACAGATGTGTTAACATTGAGATTGCACTTGCATTTCAGTTACTGCTCCTCAACCTCTCCATGCCTGTTTTTGTCTAGAGTGTGGAGGATTAGTTGCAGTTTTTGTGATGATATGGTATATTTAAGACTTGGATTTCAGGTGACTGGATAATTATTATGGAGCCTTTGTATTTCTTGACTCATGAAAGTTAAATTATAGAATTTGGGGTCTGGTTTGCAACATCCTAATACAGTCACTGCTTTCTGCATAACAGATTTTGATAAATTATTTCAAGTCCAGCTACCATATGAAATAATTTTGGTGGGTGATGCTTAAAAGGTGTTCACATAAATATGCCAAAATTTGGCTGCTAGCCCAGATTCATTGGACATAAATAGCAGTTCTGGCTTTTGGGAAAAAAAAAAAAACAAAACACCCTTTTTTTTTTTTGTGGGTTGTGAGGTTGGTTTTAGCATTTCAGTTTTGATCCTGGTTGTGACAGGAAACAAAAAAGTTGTGAAAATAAATTTTCCTTCCCCTCTTATACTTCAGAACCAAACCTGAAGATGAGGAGATGTGTGCTTTTCTGGGCTTGTCTTCATGGGTTTTATAGCTTGCAGCAGCATTGATTATCTGATGTTATATTATAACCTAAGATATAAAATAATAAACAGGCCTTGATTTTTGTCTGGACCCACTTTGCCTGCCTGAATAAAAAATCCTCCATTTTCATGATAAAACACTAATGTAATAAAAGATAAATGATACATAATTGAAGTTCCCATGCAACATACTTTCTCCAGGTGCTGAAAACCAGTCACAAATATCAAACTATTACAGCTCTTGGTTCAGCATTTTTCATATTTCTTATGTTAATTGCAAAGAAACAAAAAGGTTTGTGAAATACTTAAATCCAGTCAAACTGATTAATTGATTTAAAAAAAAAGAAAATACTAAGGGGGCTTAACTCAGGTTAAAAGCAAACCAGAACTGAAATGTGAACCAGAGTCGCTGAAGCTTTAGCCAAGGATTTTGGAGTCTGTAAATTACTTGTGTGATATTAGTAGGTGCCTAGGTAGTGGATATTATATAAAAATATAACATCCCCTATTGGAAATTAAATAGTAGACTTCATTTTGTATATGTTACAGTATTACTAACTTTGATGTATTTGGGATAGATCATTAAAGAGGTGAAAGATTTTGCAAGGAAAACATTAACACAGATCGCCAAGCAGGGACTGGGTAATGGGGTATGCCTGTATTTTAGTTTCTCAATATGAAGAAATGATATTTCTGTCTGTGCTGGCACTTGAATGGGTGGTTAGAAAATCGGTATTTAAAGCATAATATTGTATGCACAGTTTTTCCTAATGCACTTACTGCTTTTGGATAAAGGACCATCTTTGCCTCTGATGGCAAGTAGCTCTTTTGCATTCACCCTTAGCATTATGTTAACAGAATTTGAACCAAAATACTATTTCCTTACAGTATATATGCAGAAGCCTAATAAGGTGACAGTCATGCTGCTTCTTGAACTTCAGAAAGGGCTGCAAACAGGGCTTGTATGAGGGTTTTTCGGAGTCCTGGCAGGCCCCGTTGCTCCAGAGAAGCCCTGTGTCCTGGATCATTTCAGTGTTCTTCGATGGTTCTGGTAAATGGTGTCAGCTCCCAGATCTGCTCCAAATGCATTGTGCAAGCAGGTTTCTTGTGGTATAAAGAGAATTGGTGCCGTTGGCAGGGCTTCAGCTTCATGTTGAAATTCAGCCTTTCCTCAAGCGGTGTTTTGTGATGAAGCCCCAGGCTGGTAACGTTTTGTGGAAAACAGAATAAGGCTTCCCTTGTTTCCCTTATTCTTTATGAAGTGCTTCAGGATTTTGATGGGAAAATGAACTATAATTTTATCAAGCAGAAAAGTTTTATGCATGAAACCCGGATGTGTTGTACAATGGATTCTTTCTAGTGGTGTGTAAATAAAGGCATTGTGGCAGAATCATTCTCATTTATACCTATTGTCATTGAATTGGCAGTTCTGATTCAGACAGCCTGATTTACCAGCAAGTTTAACAGTTGCACGGCCTTTGCTTAATAGCTGAAGACTGATAAAAATACTAAACAGGCTTTCACCTCAGCATCTAATTTGAGAGCAGCTAAGGATACAGGGAACAGGCTTTATCCCGAGCACATGAAATCTATTCTAAACACTCACTTCTGAAAAGCATTTCCCTTTCCTCTTGAACCGTCCAAATACGCAAACTGTGTTTTGTAAGATCAGTGGGCTAAGATTGCAGTCTAACATGTCACCCCCCACCCCTCCGATCTTTTCCAGGTACGCAGTCGTTCGGCGGCTCCACGGGCTCCTCAGTTCAGAGGTACAGTATTCTGGGGGTACCACTCTCTTCTGATGGGGCTCCTGCACTGGGCTCTGCTTTGGACACCCAAAAGCCTTCCTGGCACCGGTGCACTCCAGCTGAAATCAGAAGTTGCCAGATTTGTGAACATCAATCTCGTGTGTCTAAAGGCTGAAGAATATTTTAGGTCATAGAATGTGAAAGTCTGTTCTAGGTCTCATTTCTAACAAGGCTTTGTGTTTATTCATAGCTAATAACTTCAGATTATCTATTGTCGCACGACATCAGTTTACCCCGAGTTATATTTTACACTGAAAGTAGTTCTTCCTCCCTGCGGCTAATTCAGTCTGTATCTCTGTTACAAAGGCCAAAACAATCGTGTTTTCGTACGTTACTTTTCATCCTTGCAAGTTGTGCAGACGAGATAATTTTCCTGGTGTCTTTAAAAAAAGTGCTTCCCCAGAGGAAGGATGTTTGTGGCACCAAGGGAGCTGGGTGTCTGGTCTCTGTGGCTCTCATGGCTTCAGCTTTATTTCACGACTGGGAGGCTTTTCTCCTCTACTTGCTGCTATTTTCTCCTCCTTGATTTAATTTATATTTCTGTTGTTCTGCTTTTGGTTTGTGTTGTACTTCCTATTGATAGACTGTGTCCTTTAATGCAATAGTAGTTTCCTTATTCTTCCACCGTAGCTGAAGTCATAAGCTTGTGCACATAAAAACTGGCAAAAAATAACTGGCATCCTAAAAATGCCTAAATTAATCCATATAACCATTGTTGCTTATTACTTAGTATTGGTATTCTCATTTCTCAGGGGAGGCTTTGCAGGCAGTGTGGTTTCTGTTAAAGGCACTCACTGCCTTTTCAGAGTTCATTAGATGCCTTTCTCTGGAAGGAGATTGCTCTTTAAAGTATCAATGGTTTCTGGTTATTTGACCAGGGGAGCAGCAGAGGGTGCTATGTCAAGGCCTGCTTAAAAACAGATATGAGGATTCCTTGAAATTTAACTCAAAGCAACTGGATTGGCATTTTGTCTTCACTTTTCCTTCTCTGGTACAACACCATAAAGCAACCTTTGACCCTGTTGGCTAATAAATGCATTTTTCCTTTAAAAAAAAAAATCTATCCATTTAATAGATGCTTTGGGAAATGAAAAAAAAATAAAAGCAACCCTTTTTCTTTTTTGATTCTAGCATATCTGAAGAGAGCAGCAGTGTCCCCGCTGGCAAAGGTGTAACGAAAGTCAGTCGCACCTTCAGCTACCTCAGGAATAAAATGTCCAGCAGCAAGAAGAGCAAAGTAAGTGCTTCTTGTGATTTATGCAGCCACAAAATGCCCATAGGCAGCAGGGATGAGTTCTGTATTTCAGTTCTATGTTTCCATAGGGTAGTATTTAAGTCTTTGCCCAACTTTCTCTTCTTTACTTTTTTTACTTCCTTTCTGTCTTTTGTGAGGAGAGGATTGTCTGTGTTGTAACAGGGACTAGCTACATGGGAAATCTTAGCACCCCAAAACTGAGCCCTAGGACACACTCTGGGAACTCAACTGGTGGCTGGTCACTAGTGGTGTTCTCCAGGGCTCAGTTTGGGGGCCGGTCCTGTTTAACATCCTTATTGATGATCTGGACATGGGGATTGAGTGCACTGTACCTGCAGTAAGAGGATATGAGGAAATGGCCTTAAACTGAGTCAGGGAAGATTCAGCTTAGATATTAGAAAAAAAAATTTCACTGTTAGAGTGGTCAGGCATTGGGATAGATTGCCCACAGTGGTGGATTTGGCACTGAGTGATGTGGTTTAGGAGGGTTACTGTGGTAGTACTGGGTTGATGGTTGGACTGGATGATCTTGAAGGTCTCTTCCAACCTTGAAGACTCAACAATTCTTTGATTCTTTGTTTTCACTCTTTTCTCCACAAAATGAAGCTTCATTTATTATAGAGAATAGATTGTGTTCTGACATGAGTTATGGCTTTGAAGTGATTGATGAGTTTAATTTTTACAGAACCCGAGAGGTTTTTAATAAAATGAGGACAGGAGCTGTAAGAAAGGACTGGCTGCCGAAGGCTGTAGTAGGTTTTCATTTTATTTTTACTTTTGCCACAAAGTTTCTGTGCACTGCAAGAGACATTGCTCAAGCAGTGACCTTTGGTGATGGCAAATATTTATATTTTCACCTTTCTTCCATCCTTGAAACCCTGGGATTTAATTTGCTGAAAGATAAGTGCTGCTCAACACAGCTGAATTTCCTGGGAACCATACTGGTTACAGAAATAATTCCATTAGTGCTAGATACTTCACACAAACATGCAGTTGTTGCCTTAGATTGTCCCCTTAAGTTTAATATATGTTTGGGGGGGGGGGTTGGCTTGGTTGGATATTTTTTAATTGAATCTCATGTCTTTATTTGTCTGACAGAAGGTCAGAGCACCTTACCTCTCCATGGGCAGTATGTATTGTATCATTAGGTGATGTGTAGCTAATATGTTGGTAAATACTGTTGGAAGGCCCCCCGAGAAGTGTAATTACACACAGTTCCTCTTTAGGGATCTGCCTTTAAAGATGCAAAGCCACGAGTGCCCGTGGCTCAGAGCTCCTGCTGAGCAGCTTTAAGACAATGCTGTTCCCTGCTGCAGAGTACAATGCCAAACCCCAAATCTTCTTACATAGAAACCTCTGTTGCAAACACCAGTGAGAAGTTCAGGAGCATTTTGCACAGACTGTGAACAAGACTGAAAATTCATTAACTGGTTCTTGCTCTTCAGATGCATAATCTCTAAAGCAAGAACTAGAGAGAAAGATAAGAGATCTGGTTGAAATACATAAGAAAATACAACAGAATTGCTTTGAGAAATTTGCTCTCCTTTTGTTAAGTAAGTGTAGGCCAATTTCACTAATGTCATGATTGCGTCTGAAAGTGTTGATAAAGAATTGCTCCAAAATCCCCACAATAAGACACACTACAGAAATTGCAGCTGATAATCAATTCTGATATTTTTACTAATTAAAAAACCAGGATATCATTCAAATTACAGTTTCGTCTCTACTTACAGTGGAATGTTTGCATGACATGCTTTTTGGGGGCTCCAACCTAACAAAACACCTTACATTTTTAGGCTCCAACCTAAAAATCCTAATGATTTTTTTTTTTTACCAAAAAATCCTTGGGAACACTGATTTCTCAGCAACATTATGACTGAGGAAAACTGGTAAGCATTAAAAAGAAAAACAACAAACCTTTAAAGAGGAAGTTTGACAGGAAGTTGGTTTCTGCTGCTGTCGGGGCTGTCAGGAGGGAGGGACGCTTTGCTTCAGCTTCTTTCCAGCTGAGTTTTACTTATCTCCAAACCTGCACTGTTTTACAGTTCATTCTAAGATGAACTGTAAAATAAAGCACCCCTGAGCCTACTAATGGCTACAGCTCTTTTGGAAAATCATGTAAACAGTTACGTAAAAAAACCCTTAAAAATAAAGAGGTGTTTGGAGCATTAACTGTAGGGGATACTGATAGAAGTCTGGCATGTATTTGGTGTTATTCGGGGATTAGCAGTGAATCTCTTGCCATTAGCAACGTGCCCTGATTCACATTCATGAAGTCTAAAACAGGCTCTATTTCTGTCAATTCAGGAAAAAAAGAAAAACTTCATTTTTTTCCCTTCTGGTAGAGGGTTTCTAAGAAATGATGACAATTAGCATGAGTAATTTCTCTTTTTCCTTGCCTTGCGCAGTAATAAGGCAGTGCTATACCACCAACAGCATTTCAGTGTATATAGTAGGAGTTGTAAGTGTCTGAAAGGATTAGGAGACAGGGAGTATTCCTGATGTGTAGAGCAGGAGGAGCGCAAACACACCAAACCTTTCTGTTTGGGTATCTTCTGCAGCATTTTATTTGCTGAAGTACTGCATAGCAACACTGAGGTATGTTAAAATTCGCTTTATTTCTATCCCAAACATCACAGAGTGTTTGATTTACTACCCTCTACCTTTTAAATGGGTGGTCTCGTGGTGACTTGTGACTTCTAAAAGATTAATCACATCCTTTTCTGCCCTGTGTATTTTTTTTTTCCTTCTCTTTAGCAGTGGCAGCTAGGGTAGGGCAAGATGAAAGCAACAGCAAAGTAGCTAAAATCATCTTCAAGGAAGTTAGCAGCAATCGTCCCGCCCTCCCCCTTTTGCTCAACTGCTCTGTGCCTGCCATCCCCCCAGCTGGCCTTGCCAGCAGCTCCCGCCTGTCAGGATGGGCTAGTGCTGGTGGGGAGCAGCGCTCCTGCCCCCCGGGGGAAGGATGTCGATAAAATGGAATAGGTTTGCAGAAGTACCTCAGATAACAGTGAAGCTGGTAGGACTTAAGCACTGGGAGGTAAGAGCTTCGTGGTTCTTTGGGGGAGGGATCGGCTGCTGCAGATCTGTTCCTTTGAGTCTGCGGTACCTGTCGTGTCTGTTCCTGCACGTCGGTTCAGCCGCAGAGCCGGGCTTCAAATCTTGCTGGCAGCTCCAATAGCTCAGGAAAATGGCCTTGTTTTTTTACAATCCTTTTTAAAAATAAAGTTCCAGTAACTGTCATAGGAAAAAAGCTGAAAAAAAAAAAATCTCATTTTGAGACCTTGTCCTTCAGTGGAGTGGCTGGCAGCCTGTGCATAGTGTGCTGTTTCCTCCTTGAAAGTGGTGCACCCATTTCCTGTTTTTTTCTGGGGTCGTTCAGCTTTAATTAAAATGTTTCTTACAGTAATTTTCATGAAGGCAGGGTATTATTCCAGACTTCAGAATTACTGGGCTTTGCAGTAGACATCAGGTAGGTTTAAAGTATAGGATGGGAAATCTCCTTTCATCATGAGAGTCACAAGATTTGCCCTGGGCTTAGAGTGATCTTTTCTCCTGGAGCTTCACAAGACTTGGCAATAGAGCAAAACTCCAGGCATCGGCTTAATACCATCAGCCAAGGCCTAAACTGCAGTTTAATTTCTTGAATCCTGCCAGGCTGGACATGGTTAAAGGTGGGCAGGTCAGTAGATGGAGGATGGGACTGTGGAGATTTCTGTGGGGTGGTGAGCCAAGCTGATGGCTCAGAGGAGGCGGAGATATGATGCAACACAGATGCAACACAGACTCTTCCTGGCAGGTTTTCTGCTTCAGACAGGATTGTTCCATATGGTAATGCTCCTAGTTTTGCTTATTTGCAGAACAAAATAGCATTTGGGGCCAGTAAATAGACTTTTTGTTTATGACACTTTACAGGGAGAGACTCCGACACTGGGCATTTTGCCTGGGAAGTGTTGGGAGAAGAGAGTCCTTAGGCTGAGTTACTCATTATTTGAGTGTGTCATCAAAAGCTCAACAGTTTCCCTGCGGGTGACTGCAGAGCTCAATACCTCTTTTAACCACTTCATGGCAGTTGCTCACATGGGCTGCTCTGCAGCTCTCTGATATTCAGGCTGTGACAATATTAGGCAGACGACACATAGCATATAAATAACAAAATGCAAAGATAAGCTCACAGAAGCCTTTACCAATTTCTGGTTAAGCTTCTCTTTCAGATGCCAGGAAATCCACAGTAACAGTTAACAGAACTGCAGCTGAATCTTATGGTAAACATGTTATAGGTTGGTGCACAGAAAGACAAGGAGTCACTGTAATTCAAATTTGGAGTTTTTCTGTGGAGTTTCCTTTAAAAATTGTTTGGAAGAATTCCAAATCCATGAAAGGCTGCAGGGGAAAATGTTTCAAATTTTTAGTATTTAGTATTTTCTATCTAAGGTAGCGATAGAAAAGTAAGCAGAAACTCTGCTAAAAGTTGGATAAGGTGGCTGTGCTTGTCATCTTTCCAAAGCTGAGTAGCCCAGAGGCTGAACTGTGGCTTGTGCTTTGTGAAGATGAGAGTATCTTTTATGGTGTTGCTGTTGTTCCTCTGCCTTTCTATGGTGCCATATGTCAAGAATGTAAAAGATCCATTTTCCCAAAAAGCTTCACATGATTACCTGGGGTTGCATGTAACTATTGAAGAAGTTGCTAGTTGGAAGGAAAACAGAGGTGGAAATATTCCGGCAGTGAGGCTGTACAGGCACTGAGGAAGAGCTTGTGTTCTCCATTAAAAATGCAGTTGCAAATCTCAAGCTTTACAGGTTGGCCTTAAAAATTAACTGTGTTGAAAATTTGACACACACTGCATGTAGTGTTTGTATTGAACATAATTCACTGAAAGCACCGAAGAGGCTGATGAGAGCCCAGAAGAAGAAAAGAGGTAAAGTCATTAAACCAACAAATATAAAACAGAGGTGAAAGAAAATAGCTTCCTTCAGAACAGACTGAGTTTCATATCTGCTGGTGAGACATCTGTGAGTCAGTAGTATGTAAATCCACATCCATGGGGGCTGTAAGGTGGTTTTTGTAAGGGAGAGGTGGGCAGACACATGACCATTGTTGAGGTGTGCACTGGTCGATATCGTCGCAGTGCCAAAGGCAAACACTGAGGAATTTGTAACTAGAGAATAGACCTCTGCAGAGTAACGAGGCTTTTGGTCATTTTCTCTCTGCAGGAAAAGGAGAAAGATAAAGAGAAGACTAAAGAGAAGGACAAAGATTCCAAGGAGAAGGAAAAAGATAAGAAGCAGTCAAATGGACATGCCTTCACTGCAACCACTGTTGTAGCCCAAGCAACCTGTTACCACTGTATGAAGCCTTTCAATAAGGATTCGTACCACTGTGCAAGTAAGTCAGGGGAGTTTTTCATTGAATCTGACATGGAAAATGTGAACCTTACGCCTTCTTTTCATTTTCCTTAAGGATGTAGGGTGGGAGGGAGACTTTGGAGATAGTGATTCATGGAGCAGCAGCATGTTACCTTGTGGAAACTGGACTGAAATGAGTCGTGGCTGCATGGAGGTGTCTTGCAACCTCATTCCAAGCTTGAGCTCAGCCATCACAGCATCCCACGGGGTTTTCTACCCCTCCTTGGGCTGTGTCAGTCAGCTGGAGAACTTTGTTTATTTCGGCTGAAAGTTATGGCTTGGGCCTGAGCTGCTTTGATAAGATGGACAAAGGACAGGGATAGCTGGCTTGGATCATGGCTTTTACTTCCAAAGGGAAAAAAAAGTCCCACTCATCTGTAGTGTATTGCTTTAGTTCTCTGAACTGCTTCGCTGAGCCGTTGGTCAGAACCACGTGGTACAGAAAGGAAATACTCACCCTCTTCTCCCTTTTTACAAGAAATTGCATCACAGGTCAAATGGCAGCTACCTGTGTGTGTGTGAGGTACGTGCACTACAGTCCAGGCAGGACAGGAAACACATCTGAGGGTTTCTGCCAGATTAGTGATTTTGTTCTCTTTTCTTATCACACAGTTTCTCATGCCTGTAGCTTGATAAGGTCAGCAGAGTTTGTGTGGTCGAGCCCAGAGTGCTGCCCAAAGCTGTAGAATAAGAAGACAAAAATGTCTTTTTCCCACTGCAGCTCAGGGCTCTTCTTTCCTCACTATTAGTAATTTTTTACTCCACTAGCCTAGAGATAAGTCAAAGCATTTATGGGAACTGCTCCCAGGCTGGAGTCCTCTGTTCCTCCTGGTAGAGGTGAGCAGGGGAAGGGGCAGCCAGCTGAATCCCAAATGGCAGTTCCGAGTTTCCTGGAAGAGATTTCAGCAAAGTTGTTTGCATGAAACACACTCTGTGTCAGCCTGATGGGAAATGGAAAACATCAACAGTTACAAGCTCTCAAATGCATTCTCTCCCTTTCCCCACTCAACTTTCTTTGGCTTCTGAAGCCACTTAGAAAGTCAAATATATCCCAATTTAATTTTCTCTATATTCTAATGAGTTAAAATAACCCAACAGTGTCATATGTTTTAGCATAAGTATTCTTTCCTTTTTTCCAAGATATGATGGAGAATTATTGTAACTGTTCTGCACTGGACAAGAAACCAATGCCATGAGGAAGGTTTGATGAGGGCCCAGGTTGAAATCTCACATCTGAGAGTGCTCCTTCCTCCTGTTGCATCTTAAAATCAACTATCAGATGCTTTGGAAATTGTGGATAACCAGCAACAGAGGCTCTGTTATTCCTGTGCTGTTGCAAACTAGTGAGCATCACTGCTCTTTCTTAATGCCTTTTAAAGCACTGGATTATTTTAAAACAATGTCTCAGCTTTTCAGTGATGCACCCCCCAGCTTCCTGAAACAGCTAGTCAATGCTAAAAGATTGAGAATACTGTGAAACAAATGGGCAAGCAAAAAAACCTAACTTTTAATAGCTTCCTGCCTGGTCTTTTTTTTTTTTTTTTACTATCAATAATGCAGAAAATAAGCTTTTGGGGGTTTTAATTATTAATACTAGTGATATAGAGGAGTTGGAGGAACTTCCTGCCTGCTGAAGAGTTGAATAGGTGAGATAAAGTCCCTGAAACCAGATTTTTCAATCTAAAAAATCCAGATATTGAATTACCAAATGATACATACTAAAGAGCTGCCTTCAGGCTTTCAAGGCCTGAAGTGTGAATTTAATGATTCTGAATTGTCTTGCTGCCTGTCTTTGTGCACCAGAAGCAGGTTCTGCCCCACTTCCTTGTTCGATCTGAAAAAATGATAGTGCTTGCGGGTTTCTGCAAGAACACGCAGGTTTCTTTGTTCTGTCTTTCTTGCACAGGAAACTGTGAGATGACAGAATAGGAACACCCTACAGCCTTACCCTTATCTCAGGGTCAAAATATCAGAATTACTGGCTTTTGTTAAGTAGGCCTAAATGTAAAAAATACTAGGAATGTTAGCACAAATTGTCATTCTGGACATGGAATGTTTTCCTTTCTTATTTTTTCAAGAAATAATTCTGAACTTTACGCTTACAGTGTAACTTACATCTAAAGTACAATTCATTATCTGTGTTAGTGTTTTCATGAATGAGTGGAAATAATTTTCTCTAAGCTACTGAATCTCATCTGAGAGCATTTGAGTTGTGATCTTTTATCTGCTGAAAGAGTTACAGCCTCAAACCCTATTATCAATTATTATGGAAAAAAAAAAAAAAGTAGTTTTAATCGTCCTTTCCCAGAAATCTGCTGGCAGAGATCATGGGCAGACTCCAAAAAACCACATAGCTTTTGCTCTGGCGTGTAAGCAGCAAAGGCTGGGGTTTAAAGCATGATGGTCTTTGGACTGGTGGGTGCTGTGGTTTCCAACCCAAACGGTGTCTTCAGTGCAGTTTTCAGCAGGAAGTCCCAACCTCCCGGACATGGTCACCTGACACATGGTCCTGTTACTTCTTCTGGTAACTCTTTAGTAAAACCCTGTGGGTTTCTGTGCTGTAGATCTTGCCTGTGATGTCTGAGTTTGCGTAAATGAATTTTCCTGTCTTTTGGATCTCACAGTCCGTGTTTTGATGAGAACAGTATTTCTGTTCTCAGAGAAAATATTGACCCTACAATTGGTTTCTGTTTCCATCTCCTGCTTCAGCTTTCCACCTTACTTTCAGAGTAATAATGCCATCATTTTTCTTTCCTTTTTTTTTCTTTAATTTAAGACCCACTGGTTAAGACCCCTGGCAGCTCAACCTTGCATTGATTTTTAAACAGAATTTCCTGTTAAATTCCTTGAGGAAATCTTATTAACAAACAAAAGGCTAATTATCCTGGAGAGGAGCTTGTCTCTCAGTATTTGTAGCTACTCGTGTAAACCACAATGATACTTGAAAGTTCTAATTCTCAGTTGTGTAAATTAACAGTTCAGATTACAAATGGTGAAAACTGACCTGTTTTCTGTGTGGTTTTGTTTAATTGGTTGGGTTTTTTACTTTTGACAGACTGCAATGCAATTGTTCACAAAGGCTGTAAGGAGAGTTTTGCTTCTTGTGCAAAGGTCAAAATGAAGGTAAGAGAGTTCATGTACTCTACTGAATAAACAAAAAAAGTTTATGCAGATATATAACATCTTCTATTATATGTCACAAAGTTTCCAGCTTGTTGGAAAGAACTTCAGGCACTGTGCCCTACGTGAAAACTATTAAATATGTCGTTTATATAAGGAACACACAAAGTTTGTGCTTACCTCAAATGCAAGGAACCTGGTTCTCCAAGATAAATAATGTTTATACAAGTATGATTTTCAGTTCTCTTCAGTACTATCAGCACTTTCTCATTTTCCTATTTCTCCATCTGTTATTTTTCCCATTTCAATGGTGGTGGGGGAAATAAATAAATATATACATATATATATATATGTTTAAAAATACATGTACAGCCAAAAACTGATCTGTTCTGAGAGGATTCAGAAAAGCATAACTTTTTAAATTTAGTTATATGGAACAAATTACTGGGAAAAAGGAGGAAGAAATTACAGTGAAATTCATTTTTCTTTCAGCCACAGAGAGGGATGCTGCAGGCACATGATACCTCTTCGTTACCCACAGTAACCATGAGAAACAAAAGTAAGAAAACTTCCTTTCCCTCTCCTTTGGTCATGTTCTTAACTGTTCTGACAACTGCTAACTTGATATTACGAAAGATAAGTGTTTATCAAAGCAGGGATGAGAGCATCCTCTGCGTGTGGTAAGCAATATTTGAGATTTCAGAAGTTGTACTGAAGTTGTACAGAGTTCCTCTGCTTCTGCAGTGGCCATGTAGCTTTCAGCAGACGTAAAGTTATCTCAGATTTAAAATAACCACTTGACCGGTGTAGCTTGCTGATGCCTACAGCTGGTAAGACCACAAAATCTGGAAGATGCAGCCTGTGGAGAGGATGTTTATTCAAAATACATTTATTTTTGTTTTAATTAAATAGTCTTAGGCTTTGAGGTAGTCAAAATAAAAAGTTTAATTTTGAATAGGAGGAATGCTGACAAAGTTTTCCTGACTTTGCAGTACAGTGTGACCAAGGGTATAGAATAGGCATGAAATAGCCCAAATGGGGTTTTATAGTGCCATAATTTGATAAGTGATAGCTTGGAGATCTCTATATGGAACCACACTGCATGATACAGTTGTAATCACTGTGGTATTTATCAGAGATGTCACTCCAGAAAGCAGAAATGCATCTGAAGAAGGAAAAATCTGGAATTAATATGAAAGATTAGTTAAAGGTAATCTATAATGATAGTATAACTATAATGATAGTATAATGAAATAAGGATTATCATTTCTCTGTGGCACATACTGATAGAGAAACCTTCTCAAAAAGTCTGACCAGAAGCAGCAAGATGCATATAATTACAGGCCCAGGGGAGTGACAAAGCAACAGAGTAGATTAAAACATATGATTATTTATCACATAAAATTGAATTCAGTTTCCCAAGTATATGTTTCTGGACTTGCAGATCCCACCTAGGAATTTTAGGCGTAGTGCAGTGCAGTCAGTTCTGCACAGGGATCCATGTTCTTTCCTTCCTGTGGCTGGTTTTAACTGCTGAGATCCCCTGGTGATGATTCTAGAACAATAAGGAAGTGAATTTTAGTGCCTGGATCCTTTAAGTCATCATCACCATCACGGTTAGCAGCAGTTAAGGCAGTTACACGGCCTGACTCCTCTCTGACCCTTCCCTTCCAGGCTCGCAGCCCAAGGAGCGCCCTCGCTCAGCAATCCTTGCTCCTGATGAAAGCACTGTCACCTCAATGTTCAACAGCAGGAGATCATCACAGCAGCCTACGGCACTTTCTAAAAGTGTCTCGATACAGAACATTGCAGGGTAAGGTTTCTCCCTGGACACCTGATCCCCCGTGTGTTACCTGACGCTGTGAATGTAACGAAGTTCAGATCTCACTGAAAATAGATTCATGGACTATGATTTGTGCTAAAAGTACAGAAGAGGTTCACAAAGCCAGAAATACCCATGTTATGTGTGATACCTTCAGGTGTCTTCTGCACAATCAGATTGCCTGGGTTAGTTTAGTCATAGCATGAGTTCAGAGGAGTCTGAGTTGGCCTGGTTAGATTCAAGGCCACTTCATAGAGATGCTCTGGGATCCAGGAGGAAATTCCCTTGCCTTAGGCTGGATACTGTGCAAGCACACATTTGCAGCTCAGGTATTGTATTAACTTTTGTGTCCATGACAATAGGGGTGAAGGCATAGAGCTGCAGTCTGCCTGGTGGGTTTGGACTGCGTTATAAGTAATTAATTAAAAAAAAAAAATCATAGAAGAAAATCTAGTTTATGGTTCCTACCCTACCTGCATTTTGAGCAGTTCTACACATGAGGCAGTAGCATGGACTGGCATGTTCTGGGCAGTTTGAATGCCCTGGCTAGTCATGGTGAAATTTTTTCAGTCCATTTTTCTCATCTTTCTCAGAGCTAATGATAAGGACTCTTGTATAGCCTTTGGTGTTGCATTTTTTGCACTGCTTGCAGCAAGGGCAGTGAGGATGGGATGTGACTAAAATGGAAAGTAGTGGAAATGGAGTTATCCAAACCATAAAACCTCAGGTGTGATTCTTTATAGAAGAAGCACCAGCACTAAGAGCTGTACCTCTTACAGCTTCTTGAGCCCCAGAGGGTAGTTAGAAAACAGCTAACAAAAGCACATTTCTGTATGTAATCATGCAGTGCTCGCTTTTTTTTTCCAATTCGTATTTAAAATGCATTTCTTCTGGTTATTTGAAAGTACATTTGGCTGGTTTTTTTTATGTCATAAACAATATTGTACGTTCTGTTTTTCAGCAGAGTTGGGAACGATGACAACTTAATACACACTTGGAAATTCCTGTCGCAGTCAACAGACTCCTTACATAAAATCAGCCGGGTGAATGAATCCATGGAGTCACTGGTTGATGAAGGTAACAGATCCCCATGGCATTTATGGCAAAAGGAAGGTCTCAGTGCTGCTTTCCAGAAATACAAAATCCATTTTCAACAAGTGTCCTCCTTTCTAATGGACAATTAATGTGCATTTATTTTAATCTTAGAATATCAGCATGATAAACAAAGCCCCACATATTAATTACTTTAGCTTGTTGAATTGTGGGAAAACATTTAGAAGGTTTCAGTTACAGTTGAGTTACTTGGAATTTAGCTCAGGGAAAAACATTTCCTCTTCTACTGTGGTTTTTTTATCTGCAATGTTGTTTCATTGCAGCATTTGAATACATTATCTGAGCTAGAATTTGGTCTGTGTGAAAATGGCCAACTAGTTCTTTGCAACTAAGAAATAATCTTTAAAAGTGCTTTTCATAACCTTGTCCTTACGTGGTATATGATCATTTGTGTCAGGAAAGGAGAATGTGTGTGGTGTCTGTGGTGTGACAGACAATGCCTAAACCTAAATGAATAGACAGGAATCTCTAACAGGACAAGTTACCCACATCTTAATGGCACTTACATTGCTTTGTGAAGGAGCGGACATGAATGAAGGACAGCTCATGGGAGAACTGGAATTAGATTCCAAGCAGCTGGAGGCAGAGTCCTGGAGCCAAGTAGTGGACAGCAAGTTCCTACAGCAGCAAAACAAAGATGTTGTCAAACGGCAAGATGTCATTTATGGTGAGATACCTGCATCTTCATTTTTCACTTGTTTTAGATAGCTTCTTGATGTTCCCACATGCATGGATTTGGGAAACTTTAGGTCACTGAACTTTAGGTCAGGAAACATTGAGTTGGTTTCCTTAGAAACCATAGTTTCATTCTTGCAGTTCTTAGAAATGTAATGTATTCTGCGAAGGCTTTTTTTTTTGCAATTCCCATATCCAGAAGCCATGAAAAATTCCCAGAAACTGCCTCTCCTTGTTTGTCTGCTGATGACATTTAAACTCAGTTACAGCAGAGCAGGTAGCTGGGAAGTCTTCTCCTGACAGGTTCAGGAACCAGCCTCTGTGGCAAAAGGGCAGTATGCTGAGGCTGCCAGTGAGTTAGGAAGGAGCAGATACCAGGGCTGAAGGTTCAGACTTCAGTGTCCAAAGCTCTTTATTGTGAGATTCCTCTGCCCTGCTTTTACATGTGAAACTATTTCTCTCACTTTTTCTCTCATACATGAAGCTATTGATTGATGTTTCAATAGCTGACATAAAATTTTCTGAAACCAGAGAGAAGCCCAATTATGGAAGAGCTTTCTCCTGGCAGCTTTTCCTGGTGCTGTAACCCATGAACTCCACAGTGACCTTGGTTTTGACCTTGTCCCCATCCTATACAGAGCTAATGCAGACAGAAATGCATCATGTCCGCACCCTGAAGATCATGAACGATGTGTACAGCGCAGCGATGTTGAAGGAGCTGCAGTATGATCAACAAGTCATTGACAAGATCTTTCCCTGCCTGGAAAACTTGCTGCAAATCCACAGTAACTTTTTCCAGCGGATTCTGGAAAGGAAGAAGGAGTCATTGGCAGACAAAAGTGAAAAGAACTTTGTTATCAAGAGGATAGGTGACATCCTAGTGAATCAAGTAAGTGCTGGAAAATGCTTGCAGTTCTGAGAACACAGCTGGAAACCAGGCACTTTTCCTTCCCTCCTGTTTGTGCCTGTCAGATAATCACAGCTGATGGCACCTTTACTCTTCCCACATGTAAGAATCTCTGCCTCTGCTTTTTTTTAGGCACTTTTTGCTCTTTCAGACGAAGGTCCACTGTTGAAAATTAATTTAGTTCATTTTGTGGGAAAGAGAAGCATTTGCTGACAGGCACAAAACAGTCCGACTATAGCCTAGAGTGTAGGCAGGAGCTCACAGCAAAATATGCTCAGTGTGTCTCTTGGCTACGTTACTGACCTGCTGTTTAACTTTGGGTGGGTCATTTTACTTTTCTTTATCCGTGGTTTCTGCCTTCTTTTTGTCTGTTAAGCCCTGTGAGTAGAATCCTAAATTCTGCTGTAGGTGTGAACTCAGTAAATTCCCTAAATCAGCTCTTTTCCTTTCTGGAGATCTGCTTGCTTGATTAAGGATGCTTTGGACTAATTTAGTTTCATCAGATTCTTTTGAGAGGCTGGCAGGCACTGCTGGGATATCACACCAGGAGCTCAGTGCAGATTGGAGCTCTGTGTCTCATGTCTTGCAGTTCTCTGGTGACAGCGCCGAGCGAATGAAGAAAACCTACGGCAAATTCTGTGGGCATCACAACGAGGCAGTCAATTACTTCAAAGATCTGTACTCCAAGGACAAGCGGTTTCAGGCATTTGTCAAGGTAGGATCTGGTAGGATGGACATAGTCAATGGAAAAAGCATCTCCTTCCTGCACTGTGGTGACTGTTTTGCTACAGAAATTAAACTTTCGCCTTTATTCCTTAGAAAAAAATGAGCAGCTCCCTGGTGAGGCGTCTTGGGATTCCTGAATGTATCCTGTTGGTAACGCAGAGAATCACAAAGTACCCTGTCCTTTTACAAAGGATACTGCAGTACACCAAAGGTAGGGACCAGTTCCATTATTCTAACTGTGTATTTGTTCATCCAGTGTAAATTTTTCTGATCCTTTTCAGCTGAAGCAGATTCTCTTACCAGGTAATCCAGTCATTGTTGTCTTGTGCAGCTGTAACGAGATAACTCAGTTCCATATCTACATTTAGGATTAGTTGTTCAGGTACCTTGATTTAGTTAAGTCTGTCTGTAGCTAATTATGAAGCAACATGCTTAGGCTCCAAAGTTTCCCAGCTTGCTTTTTTTGTGGTAATGGCTAAAATATGTGATTAATTTGTGTATTTCATCCATACTCACTCATATGCAAAGTATATTGGAATAGTCCCCAACCTCAACCACATATATGTGAAAGGTTTTGTGAAACTCTCCTTAAGGGGAAAAAATGCATCCTGTCTTATTTAAATATTACAAAGTTATAATGCTGGAATTTGAGAGGGAGAAGAGGAAGGAAGGAAGTAAAACTGGGAAGTTAGACTCCACAAAGATGAAGTGAAATCGAGGCCTCTCTGTTTCTTTTTTAAAGAAAACGAAGTGGAACATGAAGACTTGACTCAGTCATTAAACCTCGTTAAAGATGTGATTGCTGCAGTCAACAGCAAAGTCAGCAATTATGAGAAGAAAATGCGTCTTGGTGAGATTTACAACCGGACGGACAGCAAGTCCATCATGAGGATGAAGAGTGGCCAGATGTTTGCAAGAGAGGACTTGAGGCATCGGAAACTCATCCGAGATGGGCCTGTTTCACTAAGAAGTGCAGCTGGACGGCTAAAAGGTGAGACTGTCCTGCCTTCTGCTGACGCAAACTGTTCAGGAGAGGCTCTGGTGTCCCTGCAGCTGCCTCTTGTTGGGTCACTGTTTTCTTGAATTGCTTTTTGTTTGTTAGGTGGAAGTAGTTTTTTTTTAGGTGCTGTGCACTGAAGTTCTCCCCTGAATTAAACACTAACTCTCCCAAGGAATCCTTCAGCTGGGACCATGGCAGCAGTAAGAGCAGACAGGGCTGTCTCTCAGGCTTGGCAGGAAGGCTGGGTTTTCCTTCTCCCCTTCCAGCATTAGCTGATTAAATTACGGTCTGTGGGCAAGAACGGGGACTGGGAGCCTAGTGCTGTGCTGTGCAGGGAGGCAGTGATAACATAGAATTCCATACAGGGTATGATTTATTTCGAGGTTTTGGAAAGAGGAAGTTTACAGATGATTTCTAGGCACCCGAGACTACTATTGCCTTTAGATGATTGATGAAGCAAGTTATGCTGCTGTTGTGAAATCCTGTGATAAGCACTGGCTCCATTTGCATTTCTTAGTGATAGAGATGCATAAACATGTCTGTAGTGCAAACTCCTAGGGAAAGCAGGTCCTGCAGGCAAGCTGCAGACCCAGGGAGAGCAGCTTGTTCTTATAGTCAGGCTGCTTTGCAGGATTTTAAATGCAGCACAGAGACTTAGAGGAAGAACGTTTCTTAGAGGGTTTTAGTATTTCCCCTCTTGCAAAGTGCACAGAACAGAGAAAAAGAGAATCAAATGGCACCTTTTGCAAACCTCACAGAGCTTGGATTTAATTTTGCAGCTTTGCTTAAAGTTTCGTGGTTCTTTTCTCTGGAATGGATCCTGTCTTCTGAAAACAGAATGGAAGGATTTACCCATGGGATGATTTAACTTTCTGGTTTGCTTCCTCTCTGTCACAAGATTTCCCAAGTACATTACACAAAAACTCTTTGTACCGAAGGGTCTGGGTGGGGCACTACACTTGGTAGTTGCTGTGCAACTTTATGATATGTCATTAGGAGACTTGGAAAGCTGTATGTGCACTCTGGGAAAAGACTGATTTAAAAGCCTCTGTTGGCTTGAGGTTGTGCTTCCTTCTCCCATGAAAGAAAGCCAGGTCCTGTGTCTCACACAGCCTCTGTCGGCTCCCCTCGGAGTCGACAAGAGTTGTGTTTGTCTGAGAGCAGAATTAGTGGTGGCTCCTGAAGTCAGTATTTCCTCGGAAAGAAACTGCAGCTGACAAATGTTGTTATTGCATGATAATTTACACTCTGCAAACCACTCATCAAGAGAACCATAAAACCCAAAACTTCCTGCGCAGATATTTTGCTCAAGGGCTAAAATATTGATTGTTTGAGAAAACAGAGGTTCTATTGAGTAAACGTCTCTGGCTTTCGCTGTTATGCCCACGTCTTAACTGCTAGTGAGCATGTGGCAGGAGGGGAGCACCCCTGCTCAGACAGACGAGAGCAAATCCTGCAGGTTTTCCAGGCACTGATTTGTTCTGCTTAATGCAAAGTCAGTTCTGAGCTAACCTGACTTGGCATCTCCAGGAGCTGCCCCTGCTTCTCCTGCTAACTGGGAGGTTGATCCTGCTTCCAGCATTTGTAAAACCAGCCCTGCTGCTCCCCAGCACTGATGTTATTACAAGAAATCTGTTTTGGGGTGGGTTGTGCGGTTATACTTACTGTTATGCTGCTTCTTTTGCAGAAGTCCAGGCTGTTCTCCTCTCTGACATGCTCGTGTTCCTTCAGGAGAAGGACCAGAAGTATGTGTTTGCCTCACTGGTAAGACTTCGACCTCTTCTCCTTCTTCCTTTTCTATGTGAGAGACCCGTGATGTGTGTTGTGCAGCAAAGCCAGCCATTTGTCTGCTAAACAACTCAATTTTCTTGCTCCCAACATTTTTGTTTGCTGAGCAGACTCCATTCTTTCTGACAGGAAAACATGTCTTCATGCCCCACCTCCCCGTTGTGCAGTGCCTTGGCACAGCTGATAATTGGCCTTGAAAAGCTGCCTGTCACTCGATACACTTGTGCCTTTCAGTTTGTGCACATGGAAGCAGTGGTTGGGGCGGGAGGGGGCAAGGAGATAATGCAAACATTGTAAAAATGAACCTTAGCAGAAGGAGATGTCCTAATACATTGTGGGCTGCTGTGGGGGATGGTGAGGTGAAGTGCAAGTGCAGTAAATTCAACAGAACAGCTGGAAAATAAACGTCAGAGAAATATATTTGTAATGCACAAGAGCAAAAACACTAGCATTTGAGGGCAGGCCCCTGAAAAGGGCTGGGCACACTGACCTGCTAAAGAAAACCTATTGCCTAATGGAGTCTGTTGGGCTGTACCTTCCAGGCATGGTCTAGACTGGCTAAACCTTGTGACCTTTCCACTCTTTGAGCATTTTGAAAGCTGTTAATTTGTTATTGCAATTCCACCAACCCTCTGCACGGGCTCAGTGCCCTACACAGGAGAAGCTGATTTGCACACAAGTCCTGCTAGTGGACCTCTACCAAATCACCCCACTTGTAGCAACTGGTATAGTGCACAAAGGGGTTGACTCGTGTGCAGATGACACAGCAGCAAAGGGACGTTGTAACCCAGCAGGCTGATTACACAGATACCATAACACACAGTGAACAGCATCTTACACACCAGTTCTCACACAGGAGTCAGCTGTGAGCTTCTGAGAACAGCAGAGGTTTTGTGGCATTTGAAAACAAGATGTTATTCTATCCTAGAGAGAGATCATGAAGATACTGTGTGTGAAGCAGGCGCTAGCAAGCTGCACCAAGTGTAAGGAGCTGTGATATTAATGACAGGGAGAGCGTGGGCAGGAGGAAGTGAGATCAGAGCAAAATATGGTAGAGTTTACAAAACCACAAAGTCAATTCTAAATTAATTCTTTGTTGAAGTGGAATGAGGTGAAATTGCTTTTCCTGCAGAACTGTCGGAGGAAAGCAAACCCTTCCCTGTTGTTTGACCCCATTAAAATCATTTATTTTTTTTAATTAGCCAATAGGTTCAGAAAATGTTTACAGCCTGAGAGATGTAGTGCTGTGGTTTATTGGGACCTTTTCAATGCTAGTTTACACTTGGAAAGTAGCACTGTTCACCCTCTTCACCCATTTCTTTCCATCTGAAGGACCAGAAATCCACTGTGATCTCTCTGAAGAAGTTGATAGTACGGGAAGTGGCTCATGAAGAGAAAGGTTTGTTCCTGATCAGCATGGGCGGAAAAGATCCCGAAATGGTGGAAGTCCATGCCAGCTCCAAAGAAGAACGTAACGGCTGGATACAGATAATTCAGGACACAATGAACACCATGTAAGCTACCCAGCTGTTCTTGGGAGGCAGGTGGTGCACATGGTTGTGTTCCTGTGATAATCAAGCCTATCCCTGTCTCCTGTCCAGGGATAGAGATGAAGATGAAGGAGTCCCTTGTGAGTCTGAGTTCGAAAAGAAATTGTCTGATGCAAAACTGAGAGGACTGAAAGGTAAAAAATCCTGCCTGGGACAGAACTGGGGAGTGGTTTTGGAAAAATGTACAGGAATTTTTGATTTGGGTTTTGTGGTTGAACTACAATATTTTTTAAATGAGTGAAAGCCGTGCATCCAGCAAATAATTGTAATCCTGGTTTGTGGCTCACCTTCCCTGCATTATTTTTGTTCTGAACCTGCTGGGTGCCAGTACTGTGCATGGATTGTGCAGGGCATGGTCATACTGTGTCAAGAGTATGTGCTGCCAAACCCAGCACATACTGTCAGGTTCCACTAGATGGGGCCAGTATCTCAGGAATCGCTCAGGTTTCCTTGACGAAGCTTTTATTTTCTGTCTTCATCTCTTGTTTTCTGTTCACCCCCACAGAACAACTTCAGCAGAAGGATAAGCAGATCTTGCTCTTGCTGGAGGAGAAGACGAAGATCTTCCGGGACATGGCAGACAGTTCTGTGCAGGAGGAGATGCCAGGCTCCAGGCTGCTCTTCAGAGCCAACACAGAAGAGGCTCCGAAAGGAGAGGCCATTATGAAAACAGCAATAAATGAAGGTGAGCCAGTCAGGTGACATGTAAATTACAGTAACCAACAGACCCTTCAGCTTCAGTGAAAGTGTCAGTTCTCAAGCACTAGTCTCGCAGGGGAAGTCTTCTCTTTGTCAGAATAGCAGCACAGATGAGGAGATAATGCTACTCACGATATTGTCTCAGGGACAGGTCATGAGGATCAGGAAAGGAAGCAGATGAGTGTTGAAAGAAGGCAGAAAAATCAGCACAGAGAACAACCACGCATTGAACCTGCTTTGGGGTCAGGAGCAGCACAGTATTTATCCTTGGCTGAAATTTGGACCATCCAGGCTTTTTGCTGTGCTTCAGTCTCAGCAAGATGTAAGAGTGGGGCTTGGGTTCCAGCAGGCACTTGTGATGCCTGCAAGGGACAGTCAAGTCCATCAACAAAATCAAGGGTAGATGGAAACTCAGTCAGCTTTCCAGTGTGATTTTTGAAGAGGCTAAAAATTATAAGATGCTGTTGTCAGAGCATATCAGGTTGCCTGGAGGAAGAGAGGGAGGTGTAAGCTGTGCAGAGCTCCAGGAATTGGAGTTAATGGTCAGGCAGACTGAGTTTTTGCAGGAGCAATGCGTACTATTCATACCATTGTCACAGAAACACAGGCTCTTGGTCCAGCAAAGTATGTGAATTTCTGACCTGAGCTCAAGCAGTGATGAAAATAGCTCAGAAGCCTGAGATGGCCTTTAACAAAGACATTGTTGCTTTTTTATCAGTTGAACTGCTGCAAGACCTGGTGAACAGGAGCCTGGGCACTGCCCTTGGACAGCAGGTCAGCAGCACTGCCATGGAACAGGAAGGAGGAGTTGGCCCCGTCTCTCTTCCTAGAAGGGCAGAAACTTTTGGAGGATTTGACAGTCATCAGATGAACGCTTCCAAGGGTGAGTAGTTACGTGTGTGCACACCAGAATTTGTTCCTAATACATGTCATCATATCCTCTTGCTTCAGAAGGACTTCAGCTGGTGATTTGGGTTTCACAGCTCCTCTCCAATAATAGTTGATAGATTAAATCACAGATTAGGAGAAAAGTCTACGTACAGGTAGAATGATGGTAGCTGAGGACCTGTGGCTACACAAGGATTAAACATCTAAACTCTTCACTCCTTTCTCTCTGTGTTCTCTCTAACTCATCCGTACTCTTATACTTATGTGCCACATGGAAACATTTGGCTTCTTAATAAACTAGTTTCTTCGTGTTATTATTGTAATATCTACAGCTCTGTTCTTTGTTCTTCACTTATCTTCCAGCAGGAGCCTGGTGCTGTTGCATTTGCAAATGGATGAGGATATTGCTGAATCAAACACCTTCTCCCCTGTCTCTGCTCTCTATGCATTTGTTTTCCACCTACAACTGCATGTGTTATTCGTGCAATTAAGTCTCTCCCAAAGAAATGTGTGACTATTTATTTCAGCTGCATAGTTGGCTGCTTCCCAATGCTCTCTTTCTTTGCCCAAGTCATCAGAAACTTCCCTGTCCTCAAATTCCTTTCTCTGTGGTCTCACTCACACTCCCAATACAACCAGTTTTGCTGTGCTGGTGTCTGTCTCAGCACTGGGATCGTTGGACCTTGTCTGACCTCCTGCATTAAAGGAGCAGTGTTAGCTCCAGACAGTCAGACATGAGAAATATGTAGAGGCTTTCCCAGCTCTATTGGAAAGCTGCAAAACCCTTCACAGGCCTTGTCATCATAATGACAAATATATTCACACCGGAGGGGTTTGTTTAGGGTTGTGCCTCTCTGTTGCAATGATGAATGGGGCAACCTCAGGCTGTTCATTCCCCAGCTCTAGGTTTTCTGTAGAAATACCCTCTTTTGAATTAGATTGTAATTCAGTAGTTGTAGGGTCTTGGGAGATTTGGGGAAAAGAATGCAGGGCCTGTTTGTTCAGCTGAAGACCAGGAGGTATGAAACCTGGCATTCACCTCCAGTTCTTCTGTTCACAACCTGTGAAACCTCGGGCAAAGCTTATAACCTGACTCCCCTTCGTTCTCCCCTCCAGCAAAGCAGAAGGGAGGTGTTTCCTCCTGCAAAGAGGTGGAAGGTCCCAGGACGTGGCGCAGGAGAGAAGGTCTGTTAGGAGGACTTGAGGGTCAGCCTTTAATAGCAAAGCCTGCCTGGGGGGTGGGGGGGGAGAGTGCCTTTGCGCTAGGTATGGTGCCTTTCACATTGATGCAGATTCAGGTGTATGTAAAGTTGTTTATCATTAAAACAGTGGCAGTTGGAAGGTTACCACTGCAGGTGTGGGTTTTCCCCATGGGCTGCATCTCAGCTGGCAAGAGGAGTACAGGAATCTTGGCAAGAGCTAGAGGATGGAAGGTCTGTGCCACTCCTTTGCCACCCCTGAGCAGAAGGGCAGCACAGGGGTAGGGTTACAACCCTCCTGTCCCCACAGGTCAGTTCAGTCCTGCTTGGGAGCACTGATATGAGTCTTCCAGGGGGAAGTTAGAAAGAGAAGTCCAGGTTTCCTTTAAAGATCCAGGTTTCTGATAACTAAGATCAATGGTAAATTGCTGGCATAGAATTACACAGGGTGTCACAGAGCAGTATCTGACCCAGATGTAAATTAACTTGCACAAGAGAGGCATTGAAACTATACCTGCAATAATAGACCCTGATATGATTCTGTTATCATCCTCCATCTGCTCTTACTCTGCCTCATGTCTTCTCAGCAAGTATTCTGTGGTAGTAGATGGCAGTGCAGGGGCTAGAAAGAGCACCAATTTATAGCAGTGTGCTGAAATTATCAGCACATTCTCTGAAACCAAAGTCAATCTTAATCTAAATTCACATCCACTTTTTCTGGTAGTGCTGACGTGTTCCGTATATTTAAGGAGCAAATGCATTTAGTTAAAGTGTCAGTAGCTCTGTGTCCCCTTTTCTGAAACATGTGTTTCCTGTATTAAATTTCTCAGACTTTAGCAAGTTCATCCATGGTTTAGGATGTTGAATAACCAGTGTCAATGCTGGCTTCTTCCTTTAGGTGGAGCGAAAGATGAAGGTGATGACGCTCAGGACCTTCGAAGAACAGAATCAGACAGCATTTTAAAGAAGGTACAGCTTGGTTTATCTATCTGCTAGCACTGAGTTCAGGTTGCAAGAAAGTGACAATTCTAGTCTTGAAAAATGCCTAAATTTCTTGACAATTACATATGTCCTAGTAAGTTAAAAATAAAATAAAATTGGAAGTATGCAACTAAAACCACTTTGCTGTAGCTAAAATCCTGACTTGAAAACTATTGCAAATCACTTTTATTCCTCAGTGGCACAAGTTATCTACCATCTGTCTGCAGAACAGCCAAAGCATGTGTTTAATTATGCATCATTATTGAAATTATAAGGTCAACTATAACCTTGCACCTATTCTTGCTGCAGATCAATCTATCACATAACTACAAAATGTTACCTAATTAATATTTTATTGTATATGATTTTAACTTGCCTAAAAAACAGTGTGTGAATTCTCCCAGAATGAAAGGTGGGGGGGGGTGTTTAATGGGTACGTCATTAGTTCAGCTAATTACATTTGCTGTGATTTCTCATTGTCCTCATATTAAATTTGTGATTTTTATCATAGGGTGGAAATGCTAATCTGATGTTCATGTTGAAAAGGAATAACGAGGTAAGAATTGCTCAGCTGTTTCCTTCCTTTAAGTGGGAAGAGAATTTGTCTCAATAGGTGATAATGTAGAAGAAAACACATTTCATTTGCTGAAGCGCATCTAGACTTTTAAATACGTTAAGCTGAACCCACTGTGTCATTTATTTGTTTAACCTTGAATGTTCAGACAGGGAATTCACTGATTGTCATCTGCTTGCCAGCAGGATGATATGTGCTGATTATAGGCAGCAAGGGTTAATTACCACCAGGATGCACAGGGCTGTATTTATTGTGCATCTGCAGACAGAGAGAGTTTAATTTTATGTTGCAGGTGCAGCGAATTGGGGCAATTAGATTTCTATTCTCCCTTTGATACACATTCATAACTTCCAATTAGCATTAATGGCACAATAAGAAGCAGCTCTCTTAATACTGGCTATCACATCACTACTGCAAATACTGCAGTGGTTTTTCTTCTTAAAATAATTGTAGGATATGAGAGATTCAGAGAAAATTTTAGGTAGGCTAGATTGGGGATAGGGCATCAGTCCAAAGTAGGTTGCTCTGTGTTGATTCACAAGGTGTTTGCATTTACCTGTATTTTTGGAGAGCCTCCAAGAACACACCTGCTGCTTTTGTGTGCCTGCTGTAGTGCAGCTTTTCTGTCCAATGGCGGTAGGACTTGTAGGGGTCAGCTGATGGAGAACAGTACAAATAGTCCACATTCATTTTAAGATTTCTAGGGTTTTTTTTCACCCCTTGAAGTTCTTTTCCTGAAATTTTTAAGTGAATTGTTGGGTTTCATCCCAATTACTCTGCTTGTTCTTGAGCAAGCTGATGCTGTGGGAAATGGTTTGCAGTGACAAACTGGGACTTCTCATGAAGGCTGTGCCACTAGGTACTTCTGCAGATGTTTCTTCAGCTGCTGCACTGACAGCTAGGGAAAGGAGGGAGGTGATGCCAGGCACCTCTGGGAGATGTCCAAGGGATGTATTGGTGTACTGGGGGACGATGCAGTCATTGCAGGAGAAGAGTGAGGAAAAGGAAGGTGCAGAGGGGTGGGTGTACAGCTTGTCAGACCACAGTGGGTCACAGAGGGAAGGAGGGTGCTGTACACCTGCCCCAGCACCCAGGGAGATCTAATAGCAATGCTTTTGTTTTCTCGCAGCAGGTCCTCCAAACCATTACCAGCCTCCATAAGTTGCTCAGTGCTTTGCAGGTAGGCTTAGCCCTTCATCCTGCTTCTGCTTGCTGCTTGCCCGAGCTGCCAGTCATGCTTCACCCCTGTCTGCCCTTCTCCTCTGCCTGTCACATCCCTGCATGGCTGGATACTCCACAGCAGCGTGCTGGGAATGTTGGAATGAGCTGCTGCCTAAGGGAACCAGTGCTGACCTGAGTTTGGGAAGCTGCTGGGGGAGATGCTTTTCAGCATCCTCTGGTAGCCCAGCTGTAAGGCAGCAGCGCTGCGCTGTGAGTTTGGTGGGAGATGAAGGGGTTCAGTACAGCACCCTGGGGTTTTCAGGGATGGGCCTCTCCTCAGGATGCTGTAGTGATTTCTGTGCCTGCTCTCCCAGGGTGTTGTGCTGCAGCAGGACACTTACATTGAGGACCAGAAGCTGGCTCTGAGTGAGAGGGCTCTGACCCGAAGCTTCTTCCGGCCGACCTCGCTGCTGGAGCAGGAGAAGCAGCGCAACCTGGAGAAGCAGCGCCAGGAGTTGGCCAACCTGAAGAAGCAGCAGACACAGCACCAGGAGGAGAGGCGGAGGAGAGAGAAGGAATGGGAAGTCCGGGAGAAGGAACTGGCAGAGCAGGAGGCCCAACTGGCCCAGCGTGAGGAGCAGGTCCAGAGAAGGTGGCAGGAGCTGGAGCGGGAACGAGAGGAGCTGCAGATGAAGAAAGCTGCCTACCAGCTCGACCTGGAGAGGCTTCGCACGGCACAGAAGCAACTGGAGAGGGAGAAGGTGCAGCTCAAGCAGGATATGGAGCGATTATCTCAAATGCGGCAGGAGCCTGACCACAACCAGGTAAATGATGCCAAGGGCCAGGCTCCTGGGGAAGCAGAGCCCTGCAGGGAGCTCCCAGCCAGCTCCTGGGCCAGCTGCATGCCTGCAGGGATAGACTGGTGCCAGACCAGCCCTAGACACGGGGGGCCTGGTATTTCAAACTGTCTCTTTCCTTGCATGTGATGTGCAGAGCTGTGTTTCTTGCACCTCTGTGTTTCTTGCACCTCAGCTGCTGAGGCACTGCCAGTGTTGGTGCAACGTGGTGTATTTGGGGTGCCCGGCCAGTGCTGAGCAGCAGGGGGCTACAACAGCCTGAGTTCTGCCCACTTCTGTGTGCCATATGTTGGGGGATGGCAGAGAGAAGGTGGCTCATTCCCAGAGAAGATGTCCTAGACAATCTCAGAAGGCTGATCCTGCCTGACATTGGCCTTCACCCCGTGAGGCCTGAGCTCTGGAGCGCAGTCAGGCAAAGGAGACGTCCTTTGGAAACAACCATAGCGTTGTGGGTTACCTGCACCCTCCAGCTGTCACAAAAGCCCCTTGTGAGGCTGATAACTGCAGGACAGGGCTGTTTGCGTGCTGACATCCATCTGCAAAAGCATTCTCAATATCTAGCAAAGAGATGGGCATTGCCCCTGTCCTGGAGAGACTGGGCACCTGCAGTCCAGTTGTGGCTCAGTGAGCAAAGGTCCCTGGCTCTGCTGAAAGAGCCTTCTGGTGCCTGGCTGCCCACAAGCACAAAGAGAGCCCCCACACAGATCCTGCTCTGTGCATTTTTCAGCAAGCTGGGGTTTATTTCTTTATAGCTGTGCAGCAGTCTGGGGGAGGAGAGCAAGCATCGTTGGCAAAACATGGGCTGAATTTCATCCTTAAGCCTGTTGATCGTTTGTTTGTTTGTAACTCACTGATTCTGACTGTAATTAGCTTAGAGCTGCAGCAAAATTAGTTTATAAATGTTGGATTGCCAAATGGAAATGATTTTGGGTGCCTGAATGGACTAATTTTGGAGCAGTGAGCTCTGAAAAGCTAGCTAATCACCAGAGGAGGGCCTGCTCCCTCCCACCCAGTTCCTGATCAAGCCAGAAGTTTTCCAAGCAGCCAGTGAAGCTGTTCCAGCATCAAGCACACGTAGACATGCGAGGGGCATGGATGCTGTGGGAGGGGCTGAGAAGTAAAATGCCTGCAAGGCTTAGGGGATTTAGGAGAAGGAAACACCTTTTTGAGGCAGGTATCTTACTGACATTGCAGAGCTATTAATAGAGGGTTCACTGAGGCTTTGTTGGGCTGTTGTTTTGATCTTCCCTTTGAATGTGCAAGCTCAATTACATCCTGAGACAGCCGTTAGGAGAAAAAAAAAATTGGGAAAAATGTTGTTGCTTTCATCTTTTGCTTGGGAAGGCTTCCTTTGACACATGCTGCTCTGGTGTGCTGGCGTTCCCCTCCCAGAGAAGCACACTGTTCCTTGGCCTCCTGCCACCATCTGTGTGTGCAAACGATGCAGGGTGAGTCTCGGCTGTGAGATCTTAGGGAATATTTGCCCTTGGCTTGTTGATACATAGCATAGTACATGTAGGAGCAAAAGATGGTGGAGTGTTACTCTTTATATGCATCGTTTTTTCATCTTAAACTGAGAGGGCTTTTCTCTCTTTGCTTTGCCTGGATGGAGACAATGTTTTAGCTGGTGAATGGGCTGGATGTTCACAAGAACAATCTCTGTCTCTATGAGTGGTCTGGGACACCTTTCCTATCCAGGTTCTCTGTTGCCTCTTTCATAAAACACTTTTCCTTTATAGGTTTCAAATCTACATGAGAAACTTGCAAGAGTCTCCTCCCAGTCCAGCATCGATGAATCCTCCAAGCAGAAGAGCCCTTCCCTTCCTAAACAAGGGCACTTTGATGCAGAACTGTCTGTCTCCCCCAAAAGGAACAGTCTTTCAAGGACACACAAAGAGAAAAGCACTTTCCATTTGCTTAGCACAACAAACCAGACTAACAAGGCAGCTGAGGAACAGACTCAGATGCCTACTCGCCTCTTCAGTTTAGCCAAACCAAAGGAGAAGAAGGAAAAGAAGAAAAAGGGCAGAGGACATCGCTCCCAACAGTCTGGTGAGTGTCAGGGGAGGTCACAGGTGTGTTTTCAGGTTGGTGAGCTGGCTGTTTTCCTTCAGCCAGCGAACTTGTGGAAGCACAATATCTAGCTTTAAATGTGGATGGTAGCATAGAGATGGAGAAGATCATCTGTGACAAGTGGAGTTCCCAGCTTGAAGTGATGATCTGTGGGCTTTTCTGCCTGTTTCACAGTCCCTGGGGTTGTCAGAGGGACACACTCTCCTCATTGCTTCTCCCCTTCCCCATCCCATCCTGAACAGCTTCCATGGGCTGGATTCTCTGTTTTATTTTTCAGCATGCTCTGCATCAAGGAGGAAAATGTCCTACTCTGGTGTCTGTGCTTTCAGGAGCTGCTGCTGGAGTGCTCCTGGCTGTTGCAGCTCCTGAGGCATTGATGTCTTCTTTAGCTCCGTGGTAGTTTGGAAGTGATAGCCACAACCCTTCTGATGGCCTCTCCCTTCCCCTCAAGCTGGTCTGTCTTACCTCTTGATCTGAAAAAAAAAAAAAAAATGCAGTTTTTTTCTCTGGTAGTTTTGCATCCCCTTAGGACTCAGATCTGCACCTCAAACCTCTGACCCACATGAAATTTGATCACATGCCCTCAGTTGACCAGTTTTATCCATGTTAACTCACTGATGCTTTCCAACTTGTGCACAGGGAAGCTCACCCATTATGAGGTGTGATTTCATGGTTGCTCAGGGAACTGAACATCTCTTAAGAAGTCCAGTGGATTTGGCAGACAGCAAGGTTTCTGTGCACGTGGAGTCCCGCTCTGCCTGCTCTGTGCCTGTGTTCCCATAGTGATTCCCACCTGTTGTTTTTTGTGCTGCAGATTCTCACTCGTCAGAAGCACCTCCAGAGGGTGAGGAGATCTTCTGCTGAGCACAGACTGCTCCTGTCTGTGGCCACTCGTGGCATTGGCACCGTGGACATCTCCCTGCCTGTTACACAGCACGTGGCTGGTGCCTGCGCTGGACAAGCATCTGGAGGTTTTAAATAAAACGTGTTATGAAGTCTGTTAAGTGGTGGATAAGGGCCTCTCTCCTGTGGTTTTGCGTGAATTCTCACCACAGAGGCTGAACTGCACAGCAAATAGTGCTATCTCTCTGTGCAAACCTTGGGTTAAATGAATCGGGATAGACATTTTCGGTCTCTTCTTACTGCTAAAGGATGAGAGAACATAGCCTTAAGGGGTCTGTGCCTTCAGATTCCCCTTTTCTGGGGAACATAACCAAAACCAAGCATTTAGCAAAAGATTAGGACTCTGCAAATGGTGCGTACACACTGGCATATATAGATATACTGTATATATACATATATGTATCTATGTATCCACTGGGATGTGCTTACAGCCAAGGTCGGCCCATGGGGATAGATGATACCTGATGACTTTCAGGGAGCGTGTAGATATTAAATATCTTGCCCTTACTGCTCCGATTGTAATGCCAGTGACCCGCATGCCCCTTTGGTGTTCATGCTCTCAGAAGTACATCGGGAAGCAGTAACAGCGTTAAAAAACAACAACTCAGAGGAAAAAAAAAAAACCAACAAAATTTAAAGTCATTCTGAAAGATTTCCATGGGGCAGAGGATTCAAATGTCAAATTGTTTCCAGAGCCAAGTAGAACATCTTTGTGTATATTTAAAATGGTGCAGAAAAGAGAAATTTGGTAGGCTGGCAAGGCAATCCCAGGGAGCCAGAACAGACTGTGTTCAAGTCGGAACAACTCTAAACAACATTTTTACACACGATCACTTTGAGCTGCAGCTCATTCCTTCCTGAAGCAAAGATTATCTTTTTTGCTGGAAGAGTTCCCTTGTTGCATTTGACATCCCCATACAAGCCTAATGACTTCCTGGGGGGATGGCTAAAAATCTGCTTTTAGGGACCTTTGTTCTGTTATTTGTATTTTTCTTAGCCCGCTTTTTGTGTTAACATTGGGCTTCTGTTTCCCGGGATTTTGTCAGCTTCCCTTGCTCCTTTCTAAGGCAGAATGAGACAACAGCAGTCTCAGAGCACTTCAGTGAGACAATATGGGTCAGGGGCCTGTGTGCTACGAGCAGAGCCAACTCCAGAGATGGCTCCCATCCCTATGGCTGTACAATACCATGCACTTAGTAACCATTTCTGGGGAGAAAAATGTTCTCATGGACAAAACCACTGTGGGACAGTCCAAAGGTCCAGCGTGGCAGGTCTTTCTAGGGTGAAAGTGTCTGTGCGTCCCTGTGTTGTCATCAGCAGAAGGGGAAGGTCCGAGGGCAGCTCTCCCTGTGCCAACTGAGGTGTTTGTACAGCTGTTGAATACAGGGATGTGTTCAGCAGGGGAAGAGAAATGCAGAGAGCCACACTGTTCTCCAAAATTATTATTCTTCCAAACCTTCTCAGGAGAACTAACCCAAATGGATTTGTAAATGGTTACAAGATGCCGCCAGCTTCAGAATAGCTCAAAGGTTTGCTCAGAGTGTGAAGCTGTCAAGTGTATTTCCTTTCCTGACTTTTTTTTCCAGTAAAATAACAAACCATTTCTCTTCTTGCACTGTTGTTTGATTTCAGTTTGCTCTCTGGCTTCTCACGAGCTGGTAACCCACAGCAGTTTTCAGAGTTAGTGCTGATGAGTATCAGCAACATTGATGGTGAGATGGATGCTTAGGCTGGGCTGTCTTGGTCAGTGCAGGAACCCTCGAGCACCTGCTTGCTTTTGAAGCTCTCTACACTATTAAGACTCAAAAAAAAAGAAAAAAAAAGAGGAAGAAAGGAAAAAAGTTTGAAATTATTTGTATTTTGATTTTTTTTAATATTATTTGGTGCTTGTTCTTAATTGCAAGCAGGGCTTGCAAAAATATTTATCTTTCTGTTTATTTGAAAGAGTTCTTTTTTTTTAAAGGAATTTACTTGGTTTTATTTTTTTATTTCTTTTTGATTTTGTTTGGGGGATGGTTTGGGTTTTTTCTCTTTCTTTCTCATCCCCCCCTTTTTTTGTTTTGTTTTGTTTTTGTTTTGTTTTCTTACCAAAAGATTGGTAAACCAAATATTCTTATCTCCCTGGTTCCTACAAAACCAGGGTTTGGGCAGTGCTGCTTTGCAGCTCATGCCATGCCCAGAGTTACACAATTTCAACTGAGAGCTTTCTTTAAGGCAGAGCACCTTTGGACCAAAAGAAGTTTGGAAAAAGATGCAGTGACTTCAGACAAGGCTCCTCCTATCAGTTAGTTGCCTTGTTTAAATATTTTGGTTAGGTTTTCTCATACCTTTTGGAGGCAAAGAAAAAAGCAAAGCATGGAGTGCCTTGCAGTGATCTGAGGGTCTGGTCACTCCTCCAGGGAGATGGAAGGAGCTCCTCTCCTGAACCCAAGGGAAGCTGAAGGAGGAATGTGCTGGTGGTGTGGTGTTACCTTTTTCATAATAAAACCATCAATTTTAGAAAATAACTCCTGCCCTATTATTTATACATCTACAAACATGAATGTGCCAAGCTGAAATTTTTGGAAACCAAAGCAGTGTGTGGCTCATTTACTGTTGTGTGAACAGAGATCAGGGCCCTGGTATGCCTGAGAGTTCCCCTCAGTCTGGAACAGCCTTTGCCACTATGAGCTTTTCATTTTATCCCACTGTCTTTTCCCCAGTCCCAACACATCTTGGATTCACAATACAGGAATGCCTCATGGCTCTGAGAAAGGCATCAAAAGGCAGATTGTGTGATCCAGGGCAGCAGGGCTGAGCCTCTGCCTGGCTTCACCATCTCTCCTGACCTGTGCAAATCAAAAAGAGCATTCAGTGCCCTAAGTGAAAATAGTGTTTGCTGAGTGATCTCCAGAGGTCCCTGTGGTTCCTTGACAGAAGCCACAGGTGTGAGTCAGAAATACACTGACCAGAAATCATGTATATCAAAGCTGTTTGTGTCTTAAACTCTGGTGGACAGACCTTTGTCCCTGGAGGATGTCTGTTACTGTATGATTCACTTTTTTGGAGTGAAGCCTTTCCTCCCACACTACTTCCTTCTTCTTTCACCTTTAGGAAGGTAAGGACTTGTTTTTTATCTCTTTAGCCTTTTATTTTTCCCCTCTCAGGTTTTCTTTGGAAAGGCTTGGCATAAGTTCCCGGAGTCAGATTCCTGCTCTGATCCTTGCAGGTTGCCTTGGGTTGTCTGCTGGAGTATGATCCCAGCTTTACAGCACCAAAGCCTTTCCTCTTCCTGGCCTTAAAATTGCATTTGCTCCAGTTTCACACCTGGCATCCATCCTGAAGTTGTTGAAAGCTCCTTATTTCTTCAGCCCAACCTGGTGCTGCGTCTGGTTCCCAGAGCCAGTCCCTTGATCCCATTTGGAACACCCAAACCACCTTATTTTGCATGGGGTTCCTGGGACACAGAGCAGGTTCAGAAATGTCTGTGCAAAGCCCACGTTGTTGGAGGGAAAAGAGGACCCTGTTTGTGCTGGTGTTTCATGGAGGGCAGAAATCAGATTTGCTTTTCTTAGGCTTTTCTTGGCCCGTCTTTGCCACTGCCAAAGAGGAGGGATTTCAGTGTCCAGAGAAAGTGGGATTGTGGGCTCAGATGAAGTACAGAAGTGGTCAGTATTAGCTTGAGGGTGTCAGAATACCCCAGTGATAGATGGTAGCTGTAGCAAAGGGTGTGACACTTGTTGGAGTTGTGTGGGGTTGGCCTTAGCTTCTTTTAAATGAAGTGATCATCTCAAGATGTAACTTGACATCAGTTTGATGCCATAAAGCACTTTAAATGGAACTGGTCTTGTCCCTTTTTGGTTTGGTTACCTGGAGACAATCAGTTTTGCCATTGCTCCTCCCTCTGCATCTCCAGTGAAATCTGAGCTGCAAGTAGGCATATTCCTGGTTTGGTTTGGCTTTGCCCTGAGAGGGGGGAAGGGCCAAACTTCTTGTATCATTTTTAGACCGGAGCGGGTACGAATCTGACTACAGTCCCACTGCAGATGGGTTGAGTGGCAGGACAAGAGAACTGGCTTCTGTTGGCTCAGGTATATCCCTTGGGAAAGCCCATGCCAGCTTCACCATCACCTTCCTCACAGCAGGCAGGGAAGCAGTCCTGCCAGTGGTTTGCCCTCTGTCTCCTTTTCCTTGGAGAAACTCAGAGCAAAGGAGATGTGGGGGGGACACATCCAAATAAGTGAAGTGAGGCCCTTTCCATGCACCAAGTTATTTACTGTCCAGGCTGCTGGGAGACCTCCCAGGTGCCATCTCCAGGGCAGGAGCTCTCACCAGTGCTGAGGGTGGACTCTTCCCTCCTGAGGTGTGACCACTGCTGGGAAGCACAGTAATGCCATGAACTTGTGCAGATTTGTACTGCCTTTCAAAGGCAAGAACATCGAGTCCAATCATCTTTGCACCTTCCTTGAGTCACTTGATCTCACAGCTGTTGCTGAAACACTCAATTCCAGTCCTTCCAAATGCCACCAAGTCAGAAGCGGTTCTTCAGGTGCCAAATTCCAAGGAAGCTGTCTAGGATATCTGTGGCATGGAGCAAGGGGGACTGGGCAGGGGGCACAGGAGAGTATCTGCTAAAATCCCACAAAACATTCCTTGTTAACCAGAATTCTGGAAATTATTCTGCCTGCTGGCCAGGTTTGGGAATTTATCATAATTTAGGGCACCCTTACAAATAAAAATCACCCCTGCTGTGCATAACTCCTGTTTCTTTTGTCAGAAGGGGCAGCAATCCATGACTCTTCATCTGGTGATGCAGCTAATTTTTAAAGATAGGCGAGCTGAACTGGCTAAATCTCTACACCTTGTGCTCCTCAGTGATGGGAAGTGTAATGCTAGCTCCCTTCCCACCTGCATTTCCAGGGCTCTGTGCCCTTTCCTTCCACATGCATTGCACTGACACTGATGCTTTGCCCAAATATATTCAGCTTCCATTGCTTGGGGGGAGGGGGACCAGGATAACATTCACTGCTTTGCATACAGCTTTGAGCTTCGTATGTATTTAAGCTGTCTATAGATATCCATCCTTTCCGTGCTCTAAAGTATTTTTACTATTTTCTT